TTTCCGTGTGTGTCCATCTGTTTTCATGTGTTTCTGTGTGTGTCTTGGGTTTCTTTGTGTGTCCCTTTTCGTGTGTCCGTGTGTGTCAATCTGTTTCCGTGTGTGTCCATCTGTTTTCATGTGTTTCTGTGTGTGTCCCTTTCCGTGTGTCCGTGTGTGTCCATCTGTTTCCATGTGTGTCCATCTGTTTTCATGTGTTTCTGTGTGGGTCCCTTTCCGTGTTTCCGTGTGTGTCCATCTGTTTCCGTGTGTGTCCATCTGTTTTCATGTGTTTCTGTGTGTGTCTTGGGTTTCTGTGTGTGTCACTTTTCGTGTGTCCGTGTGTGTCCATCTGTTTCCGTGTGTGTCCATCTGTTTTCATGTGTTTCTGTGTGTGTCCCTTTTCGTGTGTCGGTGTGTGTCCATCTGTTTCCGTGTGTGTCCATCTGTTTTCATGTGTTTCTGTGTGTGTCTTGGGTTTCTGTGTGTGTCCCTTTTCGTGTGTCCATGTGTGTCCATCTGTTTCCGTGTGTGTCCATCTGTTTTCATGTGTTTCTGTGTGTGTCCCTTTCCGTGTGTCCGTGTGTGTCCATCTGTTTCCATGTGTGTCCATCTGTTTTCATGTGTTTCTGTGTGTGTCCCTTTCCGTGTGTCCATCTGTTTCCGTGTGTCCATCTGTTTTCATGTGTTTCTGTGTGTGTCCCTTTCCGTGTGTCCGTGTGTGCCCATGTGTTTCCGTGTATGTCTACTGTTTCCGTGTGTGTCCATCTGTATTCATGTGTTTCTGTGTGTGTCTTGGGTTTCTGTGTGTGTCCCTCTTCGCGTGTCTGTGTGTGTCCATCTGTTTCCGTGTGTGTCCATCTGTTTTCATGTGTTTCTGTGTGTGTCTTGGGTTTCTGTGTGTGTCCCTTTTCGTGTGTCCGTGTGTGTCCATCTGTTTCCGTGTGTGTCCATCTGTTTTCATGTGTTTCTGTGTGTGTCCCTTTCCGTGTGTCTGTGTGTGTCCATCTGTTTCCATGTGTGTCCATCTGTTTTCATGTGTTTCTGTTTGTGTCTCTTTCCGTGTGTCCATCTGTTTCCATGTGTGTCCATCTGTTTTCATGTGTTTCTGTGTGGGTCCCTTTCCGTGTGTCCGTGTGTGTCCATCTGTTTCCGTGTGTGTCCATCTGTTTTCATGTGTTTCTGTGTGTGTCTTGGGTGTCTGTGTGTGTCCCTTTCCGTGTGTCCGTGTGTGTCCATCTGTTTCCGTGTGTGTCCATCTGTTTTCATGTGTTTCTGTGTGTGTCCCTTTCCGTGTTTCCGTGTGTGTCCATCTGTTTCTGTGTGTGTCCATCTTTTTTCATGTGTTTCTGTGTGTGTCTTGGGTTTCTGTGTGTGTCCCTTTTCGTGTGTCCGTGTGTGTCCATCTGTTTCCGTGTGTGTCCATCTGTTTTCATGTGTTTCTGTGTGTGTCCCTTTTCGTGTGTCCGTGTGTGTCCATCTGTTTTCATGTGTGTCCATCTGTTTTCATGTGTTTCTGTGTGTGTCCCTTTCCGTGTGTGTCCATCTGTTTCCATGTGTGTCCATCTGTTTCCATGTGTGTCCATCTGTTTTCATGTGTTTCTGTGTGTGTCCATCTGTTTCCGTGTGTGTCCATCTGTTTCCATGTGTGTCCATCTGTTTTCATGTGTTTCTGTGTGTGTCCCTTTCCGTGTGTCCGTGTGTGTCCATCTGTTTCCGTGTGTGTCCATCTGTTTTCATGTGTTTCTGTGTGTGTCTTGGGTTTCTGTGTGTGTCCCTTTTCGTGTGTCCGTGTGTGTCCATCTGTTCCCGTGTCTTTTCCGTATGTTTCCGTGTGTGGCTTGTGTTTCGTGTGTGTCTGCGGCTGTAGGGAGTGCACACATGACACGATGATCCAAAATAAGGTGAACGTTTAACCAACTAAAAAACTGTTTGAACAGGTCAGTTCAACCCCTTCAACCCTGTGCAGTATCCTATGTCGTGAGTGAGTGTGGTGTTAGTAACGTTCCTGGGGCGGTGGGGTAGTCTAGTGGTTAAAGCGTTCGCACGTCACGCCAAAGACGCGGGTTCGACTTCCCACATGGGTACAATGTGTGAAGCACATTTCTGGTGTCCCCCGCCGTGATATCGCTAAAAGCTGCGCAAGACCACACTCACTCACGAGTAACATTCCACACACATCACTGCCGGGGATCCAAAACTGGGCTCAACATATTGTACCACGAGTTCCTTCTCGTAACGAGTCAATATTTTAACCACACCTGTCCAGCCAAGAAGGCAGACGATGACAGGTGGTATTATTTTTCATCTTGTTCTGGGCAGGCTATTTACCGGTCAACTCTTAAAGGGGAAGTGTACACGCAAAAATCACTTTCTATCTTTTTCTAAACAAAACGCAATTTTAGAATTAATTAGTATCTGTGTTTGAAAATATACACTCATTTTTTTCACAGTGAAAGTAGGAAACTCACAATAGTGTGAAAATGATATGCCGTTATGAGGCCTTCGTTTTTCGAGCTAAACAGGCCTGAGTTATCCCCCTTAGATTATGACGTAATTGGTGCCAATTCAACTGGGTCCCTGTCTATTCTCAACGCAAAAGATATCAAGTACCAGTTTGCGGTAAAACAACATGGCCTACGACACATTCCGGCGCAGTGGTGACTCAGCATAACACTATGCTGGCTGGCATCTGAGACGCTAGAATCACACACCTGTACCTACACCACGTGAAGCGGCTCTAACAAAGCATGATGACGTCATAATGTTTATCAATTGGCACCAATGACGTCATATTGCAAGGGGCATAAGCCATGGTGTTTTTGTTGTGGAAATAGAACACTTGGTAAATGTGAAAAATATAAATCGTTTTAATGCGAAAAATATGTTAATTAATTGTGATATTTTTATATTTTTGTCTATGACACTTCTAGGTTAACACTTTTAATGTGGAAAAAGTACAAGAAAAATAGGTTCATTTCCGTGTGAACTTGCCCTTTAAGTACACAGAGTTGTTACCTGACCACTCATTTCAGAAATACATGATACCCCATCACGTGCCACTGTCCTGGAGCCATGTATAAATGTGCACACACTCCTGGGCAGTGGTGACTCAGCATAACACCACTGCCACAGGCTAATTTGCATATCACGTGACCGGACTTCTTTCTTGTTTGTAAACAAACGCGCTTTTTTCAGAAATCAGTATAGAACGGACTAATGCAAGTATTTGAGGGCACTTAACATATTGTTTTGCATAATTATATAGATATGCTACTACAACTGCGACAGTGAGTTGCATGACAATATATATTTATACATTGAAGTGACCGTATCGCTAGCGGGGGCACGGGTGGCCCAGTTGTCTAAGGTGCCGCGATTCGCTGTTTAGAGTTGCGCCCCTTGGGCACGCCAGAAACCTATGATTGTGGATTCGAATCCCGGTTTGCCCCGATTATGTTTCAAGGTTTGTCAGCACCATGCCCGTGCTCGTGGGTTTCACCGAAGTGGTAAACATCTGAGACGTGCATCACTTTGGGCTTTCCTCCCACATTAAGCTGACACGCCGCGATACAACTGAAATACTGTTAACGGCTGTAAACCCTACTCACTCACTTACCGTATCGCTAGCTCTCCGTTGGGCTTCGATGACAGCAAAAACAAATAGATCTTCACGTGTTAGGATACGTTCTTAATGAACCGTAACCATTCTTTGACATTTGTTTATGAAAATGTGTAGGCTTGTCAAACATGAAACGAATGACAAGCATATGCATTATCTTGAATGGACTGTGAAAGATGTGGCAGAGGTACTATGCTGGCTGGATGCCGGTCGCATGGAACTCTGGGTAGGAGAGTGAAATGGGCAGGCACTATAAGTGACAGGAAATAGATGGGAAGTCCACTACGCAGCAAGCATCAGCAGCTTGTCTAGGTCCTCTACGGGTTACACGCTGGGCCGCCATGCCGGAAGGGCAAGGCTCTATTGCCCTTTAGGTGAGGTGAAAGGTGTTTAACGTCGCGTCCAAGATTACTGCACTTATATAGCGACGTACATGTCCGTGTGTGTGTTTGTGTGGCTGCTTGTACTAGTCCGGACTGATGCCGATTTATAGTGCTAGCTCACTGAGATACCATGCCGCAGTTTAACATGAATATCCCACTCAGACACAGTATACTGACTCCGAGCCGACCAGTCCTTGTTTTAGCCCTTTAATGCCGAGCGCCAGACAGGGTAACAACAAGTACCATCTTTTAACGTCTTCTGGTATGACGCGGCCGGGGATCGAACCCTGGACCTTCCGCTCTCCGGGCGGACGCTCTACCACTAGGCAACGGAGGCGGTCCTATTGCCCTTTAAATACATAGGCAGACGGCAGAGCAACACAGCGGACTTGGGGCGACTAACAGACAAACAGCTTCACCAGCGCACAGAGAAACGGTCCCGAGTGAGAACCAGTGCCACTAGTACTTCCTGTCATAAACCTTCATTCCTGAACAAAGAAACGTGTTGTGTTACACAAATCGTCACTGTTCAAGTGAGTGTGTTTTTCTCGCAAAATTCAAGCAGTATCACGGCGTGGGACACCGGAAATTGCCTTCACACACTACACCCATGTGGGGAATCGAACCCGGGGCTAAGGCATGACAGACGTTTTAACCACTCGACCCGTCCTTGTTTTAGCCCCTTAATGCGGAGCGCTAGGCAGGGTAACAACAAGTACCATCTTCCCAGTAATAATCATTTGTCCCGTGCAGATCCTGGGCAGAATTGATTTTCAGCAACCAATGCTTGTCGTTAAAGGCGACTAACCGGATCGGGTGGTCAGTCTCGATGACTCGGTTGATGCGTGTCATTGTGTCCCAATTGCGTCCCAAATCGACGCCCATCATGTCGATTACTGGACTGTCTGGTCCAGACACGATTATTTACAGACCGCCGTCATATTGCTTCAATATTGCTGAATGTGGCGTTAAACAACAAACAAACAATTATTTACATAATACGAAACAGACTGGTGTAAGGTATGCAGGATATTTATTTTAGACACATAGTTTATATAGTTACATTTATATCAGCGTACTTCAGTTTTTGAAGTGTCGACAGGCTAAGGGCCCCCTTCGTCTTGACATTCACACTTTTCTGGATTTTCCAGCTGTGAAAAAAATAAAAATGTACAATAAGTCATTTTGATTGAACTTGATTCAATAACAAATAGGTCATTTCTCCAAAAGACAATTGCAAGCACAAGCAGCACATATGGTGGTTTAAGTTATAGTTGTTTGTTGTTTTACGCCGCACTCAGCCATATTCCAGCTATATTACTGCGGTCTGTAAATAATTGAGTCTGGTTAAGATAATCCAGTGATTGACAGCATGAACATTTTATGTTTGTTTGCCTAACGCCGCATATAGCAATGTTCCGGCTATATGATTGTGGTCTGTACATAATGGAGTATGAACCTAACAATCCAGTGATCAATCCATCGCCAAAATTTATCTCAAATTTATGGGGAGAGGGGGCGAGGTTCACGGATGGGGACACGGCTTTTTGTACCCATGTATGTAATGGAACCCGGCTATGGACGTGACAAGTGAACACCTTAACCACCAGACTACCACACTACCGCGTCAATTATCCATGAAGCGAAGTGTAAAGGGGCTTAACGTCGCGTCCAAGATTATTGCAGTTATATAGCCACGTGCATGCACGCGTTTGTGTGTGTGTGTGGCTGCTTTATATGCCGATTTATAGTGCTAGCCCACTGAGATACAATGCCGCAGTTTAACATGAATACCCTACTCAGACAGCCCTTGTTTTAGCCCCTTAATGCCGTGCTTCCAGACAGGGTAACAACAATTACCATCTTTTAACGTATCTTTTTGGTATGGCGCGGCCGGTGATCGAACCCCGGACTTTCCGTTCTCCGGGCGGACGCTCTACCACGAGACTACGGAGGCGGTCAATTATCCATCAGAATTTATCATTTAACTTAAGCATTTATCCATGACATAAGCTTATGACATAAAAACATGTATGTCATACCCCAATGACATAAGTATGCAAATTAGATATGCAAATTAGATAACCGGAAGAGCGAGCGGTTTGATTTGAAACTATATATTATAAGTGAAGTTACACCAGAGATATAATCAGATTAAACAGAATCGTTGTTGTTACCGTTATTAAAGTTTCAATTATTCTGCAAAAGTCTGTTCAAGTATTTTGTTTAAAATAATCCGAGGAACTTTTTTTCTCAGCGAATTGTTTATTTTGGTTTACATGGCTATGGAAAACATGTATCACTACGCACGATCTATACGTAAGATTTCGACAAGTTGCTGATGTTAATGTTTAATGCAATTATTCCTTAATTTGGAAGCAAAAATGTGAAAATGATAAATAGAATTCATCACGAGTGTTTTTTAATATGGGAAATATCAACCTCGTCCCGTTAATCGGTATTTGCCTCGCCAAAGGCTCGGCAAATACCGATTAACTAAGACTCGGTTGATATTTCCCATATTAAAAAACACTCGTGATGAATCCTCTATATACAGACCCAAACAGTAGTATGGTGGATGTTACTTACGTGGATGACCTCATTAGAGTTGTCACTGCAGAGGGCAGTGACGGTCACCCTTTCTGCAGCAAACACTGTTCCTTTGCAACAGATGTTTGAGCCTGTATTCCCACTCGGACTGACGCAGGCTAGCGACTCGCATACGTTCATGTCTGCCTCGAAGAAGCAGCTGACGGCTCCTCTGGTGACGTTGTAGCTCACCTTCTTCGCGATGGGGCCTTCATTGCACATGCTTGGTGCTGGGGGTTCTGTAAAATAAAAAGATAAATAGATGGGGTCAAGATGATCTGGTACATGGTGGAATGAATATGTTGTTCTCTGATATGAAGTACTCATCTTCTGTGAAACCAATCTCATTAAAATTAGATCTTAGTTCTTGCCATCGCTAAACAAAGATCTTTGGACATTCCATTACGATTCACGCAAGAACGACCTTTCATCCGACCAATCGGGGCGTCGCTTACCAGATCATGAAAGTGAACAGTCGGAATGTGTTTTCTAATCATGCAACCTCGAAAACGTCAACACGGGGTATTCCGAACGACAGTTACAACCGGTACGACTGATTCCGTCAAAACTATCGTCTATCACTCGCTTCAGTGGGATAAACTTTTGAACGGAGGAGGCGTTGAACAGTATGTTGGAAGCACTGCTATACAGTCTGAACCATATATTAGATATTCCGGAATGTTCGTTTGTTCAGTTTTCAAAATTTTAATCGAAAAATGTGTCAACATTTATTTCAAGCGTAGTCTGAAATGGAAGTCGCCAGATCGAAAAGAGTGTTGTAAAGCTCGAGAAAGCTGCTTTCTAATTGGCTGATGTCGACTCCTTGTTTGTCATTTCAGTAGTCGATCGCGAAAGGTCGTTCTGACGTGACCCGTAATGGGATGTCCTCAGATCTTTGTTTAGCGGCAGCGAGAACTCAGATCTGGTTTTAAGAATGAGAATGCTGTGAAACAAACCCGTGAATGAGGGAGGGGTTATTCGGAAAGAGAGTGTACCGTGAAGCATTAACCCGTTTAGTAGTCTGTCTTTCTGGAATAAGGTTTGTTCGAATTCCCATTTAAGAAAGAACACAGTTGTATGTCTTGAGCATTAACGAAACAATATTGTTTCTAACAAAACTCCATCATTAAAAATGTTCAGTGTTTGACAAATAAACCCACCCCCTTCTCCATCTGGGCATGGTGTTCTGGATACAACCATGTATATGGCTCTTGGCGTACTATCACAAGCACGCTTCTTCAATCGGCACTCGGAATCGTATGTAGTAGGACTGCCATTAGCTATAACACCACACACTGGGCTATTTTCGTTACTGCATTCGAGATATTCACATTGGTCGGGGACCACAGTTGTAGGTGGATCTGTAAGAAATAGATTTCAACTTTGTTAAAATAAATAAGAATATGATTTAGGTGTATATTATTTGAGAAACGTGTTACAACATGAATGAGAATCTGTTTTTGTAAATACTCCCATGTTACAGATTTAATACCAAACCCAGAGGTAAGGCTAACTGTGCCCAAAAGGTTTATTTAAGATGCTTTCGGAAAGTGGTTTTGTCTCTAATATTTGAACATATATTTGTCCCATTTCAGAGGACGTGTGTAAATATATTTGTTAAAAATATAATCTTGGGTCACGGTCGAATATGTGGTCCATATTATTAGCATCACCTACGGTTTCGGCTCAATTTCCATAGCAACAAGACAAAGGTTACAGTACAGCTTCCCGCCATAGCATTATACAGTATTGGAACTCGTGTTTTCAGGCTTTATCTGTGTTTCCAAACACCCCCTTCTTCCCTGATTTTCTCTAAATGGTAGCAGACTGGGTTTGACACAGACCAGACCAATATAAAAATTCAATATTTCATCTCTAAATAAACAACAATCAATAATATCATTGTATATCCCAATGAATTTACCCACCTGTTGGTTTGACGGTGCAGCCTGACTTTTTGCAGCTGATGAAAGAGACTCTCTCACTCTCAGGTGGCACAGATATGGGGGCACCATCCCTGAGCGTGTATGACCTTTCACGGGTCTGTTTGCCTGGCGTTTGGCAATCAACCGCATCGCATGGTCCATAGCTTCCCCATTGATCCCACACATATGGACCTATTTGAAATAATAACAATATTTAAGGAAGAGAACAGTACTCTACAGAACTTCAGTCTTTCCATACGAGCGAGCTTTGGTTTTTGCCTGTTTACAGAGCTCCATATAAGCTTTTGGTGTTGTGGGTATTTTACCCATGCATTTTAAAATCATTGGGTATCAGTAATTCTATCTGGGTATTCAAATTTCTGTTACCCACTAGTTTTTACACATGTGGGTATTTAAGTTAAATATTTAAAAACATTATTCATCTAGACCCTGCAAAATGGTGTCGTGTGGGTTCGAGAGCTTTATAGGACACAAAAAATACCACGATACTTCCACAAGAAAGGGTGATGGCAAATGATTATGATGTAACTGTCATCGTGGAGTTTGGCAAGGTTGACGGAATGCCCGTTTATAATTTCAAAATAAGTTGCTGAAGTGCAAATCGAATACGCAGGGTTACTTCACTATATTTTGATGATACGCACAAGTTTTATTTTTGTAGCGTATCTGTAATGTTCGTTGCGTATTTGATACGCTTGGGTTTTTTTTTACTGCACATTTCTGCATTTCTGATGCGTATTTTACGCAGATACGCAGCTTATCTGGAGCTCTGTAATGTTTATTTGTTGTTTACCGCCACACTCAGTAATATTCCAACTATATGATTGCGGTCTGTAAATATTCGAGCCTGGACAGTTAAGTTACGTCGTGTCTGTTTTGCGTGGGAATAATTTTCAAAAGACGATCACTGGTACGGTTCTGAGTTAGTGAGTATGGTCTACGCCGCTTTTAGAACGTTCCCAGCAATATATTACGGCGGGGGACACCAGAAATGGGCTTCGCACATGGGCTTTGTGCCCAAGTCGGGAATCAAACCCAAGTCTTCGGCGTGACGAGCCAACACTTTAACCACTAGGCTACCCGACCGCCCCGATCCCCGTAATACCAAGGGCCCGGTATTTAGCAACATTTTGAATTTAATTTGAAACTGACATTCATTTGTAATATCCATTAATAGTATTGATAGAGTAAAAATCCATTCCCATTTGGTGGCCCAGTTGTCTTTGGCATATACTTACCAAACTCACTCACTCACTCACTCACATTACGTTCTACACTCCTCCGCAACCAACATCAAGACGACTTACTGGTTGGATCTGGTGAAGTTGGCGGGGGTGTTGTCGTTGGACATTCTCCTCGGGTGTAAGTTGGCAACGTCGGTGGAGGGGTGTTTCCGTTTCCTCTACATTCTGCTTGTTTGAAGGCACACAAGCTCGGGAACTTCACGTTGTTTTCACTGCACACGGGACCTTCAAAAATATATATTACGTGAGTGACTGCAGATAATCGACATAAAGGAATTAGTTTAGATGTTGGCTAATACTGTCTGAAGAGTTTGTGCAACGAGTCAGTTGCCACTACATGAACAGGTAGGAGGAATAGTTATCTGGATTCGAAAATAGCACAGGCACTTTATTAGGGAAGATTAAACTTACCAGTTTTTTTGTCGTTCTCAACAGTCAGATCGCACACGGCGGTGTCCCGGCATGGGTCTGGTGGTGGAGGCTTAGTCGTTGCCGCTGTAGTCGTTGCAGTTGGCAAAGCTGAAAATGTTGATGTTAGTGCAGGTTTACCACAAAAGGTTTAGCAAGACCACTCGTCAGCTGATTCAGTACTGATAAAACCAAATCGAAGATGCTGGACGGGGCCCTGTTCCACAAAGCGATCTTAGAAACCATGAGCAAAGGCATCTGTTAAAGTATTGGCGTATGGATCATATTAACGCTAAGATCGCTTTGTGGAACGGCGCCCAGAACTGGTCCCTAGCTCTTTGTGAGCGAGTTAGGCCCCAAAGTGACTTGAACCATATTTGAGTTCTGGTAAGGCGTCTGAGAATAATGTGCTAAGAAGGCAAAATATATGCAGATTTATGATGTTTTCCACTTTGGTGAGACGAGGAGAGCATGATTCATAACTAGAGTTAATCATGGATTCAAACCATCGACCAGAGGATTCTGGCACGCATAACGGAGACAACTCTACACAGCCACGTGCGATGGATTAGAGGACCGGGCGACCACTGACTCCCGGCAGTGCCTTGGCCGATAATGTCTATGTTTCCGCGCTGACTAGTGGAGCCAGGCAACGTCATTCGTACACGGTGGTACATAATTATACTCACAGGCTGACAACAAACATACGGACAGACATACTACCAACATACATATGGAAACACAGACTGCCAACATTCATACAGATACACCAGCATGTGATTGTCCTTACCTCCAGGGGTTGTCGTTGTCACTGTCTCTACCGGTTCGGTGCATGGTTCGTATCTGTAGTTACCAATCACGAATGGTAGGTTCTTTATGCACCGATAAATAAACGCTGTGTGGAAACTACTAAAAGCTGTTTCCCCGTTAAGTTCAACATAGCATCCCGCATCGGGCTTTCCGTCTGGAGCGGCGAAGCATTCCGGAAGTGTACAGGTGCAACACCGACTTGGGGGGTTGACTTTATCAATTGCTGAAATAATGTAGCATGTAAAAGTAAGTATACCCATCAAAGTCAGATTGTTATATCCATCAAATCATTGCAAAGTCCCATAGTAAGATCATCATTGATGATGCGTTAATGTAAGTAAACTACGTGTTTGAATCTACCACTTGGGCCCCGTTCCACAAAGCGATCTTAGCGCTATGAGTGTCGTAAGTCAGTGTTAAAGTATGGGAGTTACGATCATCTTAGTGCTATGAGTGTCGTAAGTCTATGTTAAAGTATGGGAGTTACGATCATCTTAGTGCTACGATCACTTTGTGGAACGGGGACCTGGTAAAGAATATACAATCTGAATACGTGACTACTCAGTCAGTGAATCTACCACCTGGTAAAGAATATACAATCTGAATACGTGACTACTCAGTCAGTGAATCTACCACCTGGTAAAGAATAATATATAATCTTAACACGCCACTACTCAGTCAGTGTATCTACCACCTGGTTAAGAATATATAATCTTAACACGCCACTACTCAGTCAGTGAATCTACCACTTGGTAAAGAATATACAATCTTAACACGCCACTACTCAGTCAGTGAATCTACCACTTGGTAAAGAATATACAATCTTAACACGCCACTACTCAGTCAGTGAATCTACCACTTGGTGAAGAATATACAATCTTAACACGCCACTACTCAGTCAGTGAATCTACCACCTGGTAAAGAATATACAATCGTAACACGCCACTACTCAGTCAGTGAATCTACCACCTGGTAAAGAATATACAATCTTAACACGCCACTACTCAGTCAGTGAATCTACCACTTGGTAAAGAATATACAATCTTAACACGCCACTACTCAGTCAGTGAATCTACCACCTGGTAAAGAATATACAATCTTAACACGCCACTACTCAGTCAGTGAATCTACCACTTGGTAAAGAATATACAATCTTAACACGCCACTACTCAGTCAGTGAATCTACCACTTGGTAAAGAATATATAATCTTAACACGCCACTACTCAGTCAGTGAATCTACCACCTGGTAAAGAATATACAATCTTAACACGCCACTACTCAGTCAGTGAATCTACCACCTGGTAAAGAATATACAATCTTAACACGCCACTACTCAGTCAGTGAATCTACCACCTGGTAAGGAATATATAATCTTAACACGCCACTACTCAGTCAGTGAATCTACCACTTGGTAAAGAATATACAATCTTAACACGCCACTACTCAGTCAGTGAATCTACCACTTGGTAAAGAATATATAATCTTAACACGCCACTACTCAGTCAGTGAATCTACCACCTGGTAAAGAATATACAATCTTAACACGCCACTACTCAGTCAGTGAATCTACCACCTGGTAAAGAATATACAATCTTAACACGCCACTACTCAGTCAGTGAATCTACCACCTGGTAAGGAATATACAATCTTAACACGCCACTACTCAGTCAGTGAATCTACCACCTGGTAAAGAATTTACAATCTGAAGATGTCGCTACTAACGTTCACAAACGGAATTCTTCTTCTGGAAACCTTCGCAGCACTTGCAGTAGTAAGATCCTTGTCCTTCGTAGCAAAGAGAGTCCTGTGGACATGGGTTGCTTTCGCATTCCTTGACATCTGAACAGAGAGATACGTAAGGTCATGAAATATAACAAAAAACATTTCCTTACAGCGCAAAGTCATTTGAAACATGTTTTGTGCCAATAATAATCCACATCGTGTTGCCAGGTTACAGAGTAAGCACTCATTGATTTGTAGATTGATCTGGATCACACGAGTTTGAAACGGTAAAATGAGGCTTCAATGACCGGATTCAAATACGAGCTGGGAGTGTCGATTGAGTTGAGGCAAGTAGCCTTTCAAGACTTTGAAGGACATTTAGAAGTGATAAAGACAAGGAAGAGAATGTATGGATGTCAACTTCTTAATTATGAGGAACACAACGTTTCGGAGTATATACTTACTCCTTCATCGGGTGAGTGACGGAGTAGGTACTCCGAAACCTTGTGTTCATCATAATTAAGAAGTTGGCATCCATAAATTCTCTTCCTTAAGTCCCCCTCTAACGGAAAGTCCTCGGATATTAAGTTTTGCCTTCAAATAAATCCAGCATGTCTCTGATGCTTGGCACGTTGCCCTTCTCAGCTATGGTTACGAATTAATCTTAGTGTAGCGGCCGTAAAACGTTATGTGGTAAATTGGTGTCGTAATTCGAACCAGAATCCTGTTCCGAGGTCGGAGGCCTGAACCAAAGAGGTTAACCCCGACAGCCAGCGGACAAGGCAAGGATCTTGTCTGTGGGACATACTCTACCATCAACAGAATCAGTCAGTGAGTATGGTTTTACGCCGCTTTTAGCAATATTCCAGCAATATCACGGCGGGGGACACCGGAGATGGGCTTCACACAGTGTACTCATGTCGGGAATCGAACCCGGGTCTTTGGCGTGACGAGCGAACGCTTTAACCACTAGGCTTCCCGACCGCCCCTACCATCAACAGAATGCACGTCACAGGCCATACGCCATGATAATTAGACCAAGTTTACTAAGATAGTATCTACATGCGCTCGGCCCCACGTTGGGTGCGAATCTAGTGACCACGAACCTCCGAGCCACGTTATTGAATTCGAACAACAGACTTTCTATTCCCAGGTTTGACGCCTTGTCCACATGACCAAAAAGGTTAACCCGTCACCAAGGTGGAACGCCTTGTCCACGTGGCCATAGAAGTTAACCCGTCAGCAAGCTAGCAGGATAGGGGTGTCATCTGTTTGATGATACTCCCAACAACATTGGCAATTCGATTTTGTTCCAGGGTTTTGTTCTAACGATGCACCTCCCTTGGCGTCAAACTCCGCTGCTCAAAATGATAATATATTAACGGGTTTTACACTATGAGTTATTATTATTTTTAATTATGTGAAAAGAACATCATCTCGTCTCTGTATTTAAAAAGATAACACATGATTTTGACTTCAATAATGTGTTTGACAAGGATGCACCGTCCCCCACCTACCTTTACATGTGGTGTTGGATACTCGGGAGAATCCGGGCTTGCACTGGCATTCGTAGGTTCCCGGAAGATTAACACATTTTGTGGTTGGGTCGCATTCGTTACTAGTGGCACATTCGTCGATATCTGCATGGAAAATATTCATTCCATTTTATATTATATGGATTATTACATCTTGTATCAAGATCTGGATCATATATACTACAGAGTATAATAACATATGTCTATATAACATCTACATAGGAGTTCCTTATACATTTAATGCTTTTAATGTCTTATCATATATTTATGAAACATAAAGTATACACCGTATATACACCATATTAATTGGTCATATCATAAAACATATAACGTAGTTTATTGTACCGTTTTCCTTCCATACCATGTTTAAAAAATGCATATTTACAATATAATGCCATACTATAGTATAGCATATAACAAATATACCATCTTATACAATATCACATATATACATTTTATGTTTTCTTATTTGCGGGTGTTATTGGGCAGTCGATGCCAAGAAACTTTAACATCTGAAGCCTCTAGCTAAATCCATCGGTTTCATCGGAACTTTTCCATATTCAAATTATTGGCTGATAAAGAAAAGGTTACTTATCAAGAAAATTATTCAAACGCGGAGAAACCCAATTTAACAACATTTTTCAACCTATCAGATTGCGGCACAAACTTTTTTAGTTTCCTAATTACTAATCACATTACTCATTACTCCTACTGAGGTGCCGAGTTCCTTGCATCCCGACATCCCTCGATCGACTTATAACAACCGCTCTCTACCTATATCTCAAAATAGGAGTATTCTGTCTTCGAAGCAACATACCAATACACGTCTCGCATGTGGATGCATATCCCATCTTGCATTCGCATCGCAGTCTGGTGATGCTGGATGAGGCGTCATAGGACTGGATGCATCTCTTCTCGGGGTAATCGATAACTACAAGACGATTAAAGGAACGTATCTTATAAAATCTGATTACGTTATTGGACAGTCACCATCTTGTTTTGTTTGTTTGTTGTACCATGTCGCTTTTTCATGTGAACATAATTTGTTTGTTTGTTGTTTAACGCTGCACTCAGAAATATTCCAGCTATATGACTGCGTTCTGTAAATAATCGAATCTGGACCAGACAATCCAGAGATTGACATCACAACAGCAACATAAGCAGGCTGATTGCAGCGGGCTTATTGGGAGTAAGTTAACTTTTTAAATTCCTTGCTGGCTGCAATAGAGTCTAAAATTTCAACTAAAAAGTCTTTGTAAACTTTGCGGCATCGTAATGGTAAAATGGTGCTCCTATAACCCACTGAAGGGGATGGTTGTGTTCTGTTTGTGTAAGCCGGGGGGAAAGAGTGTTTATTAATGTACAGCTCGTCATGTCACCCCGTTGTGAGTGAGTGAGTGAGCGAGTATAGTTTAACGCCGCTTTTAGCAATATACTAGGAATATCACATTGTACCCATGTCGGGAATCGAACCCGAGTCTTCGGCGTGACGAGCGAACGCTTTAACCACTAGGCTACCCGACCGCCCCTCATACCCCGTTGTGGCCACAGGCAACACATAACTCTATTTATTTATTGTTTATTATATATGTTTTGTAATTTGTTATGCTTCTATGGTGAATTTCGTAATTGCTTGTGCAAGTATATGTGGTTCACAATAATAATGTTCCGTGAAATATGCAAGCAGTTATCAAATCATAAGACTAATGTTTGTTTGCCAGCGGGTATGCAAGAACGTTAATATTTTGCAATGTATTCAAAAATGCTTTCTGGTTTTCTATTCTCAAATACTTCATATAAAGAAACTAAGATAGGACTAATCGTCAAAAATTAGTTTTTGTTTGTTGATAAATGCTGCACTCAGCAATATTCAGGCTATATGATGGCGGTCTTTAAATAATCGAATCTGGACCAGATAATACAGCAATTGATACATGAGCATCGCTCCACGCAATTGGGATCGATGACATGCATAAACTAAGTCAGCGAGTCGACCACCCGATCCCGTTAGTCTCCTCTTACGAGAAGCAGAGTCGCCTTTTACGGCAAGCATGGGTTGCTGAAGACCTATTCTACCCTGCATCTTCACGGGTCCCTTTTTTATGAATGAAATTGTTATATCAATGAATTTCACTACAGTATGCTTGAATTATCATGGTACATTAATGTATATTATAGACCGATGGACTGTTACTGAAATACATTGTCTGTTTGTGTGAATGTTCGTAAATTTGTATACCTTTTTCGCAGAGTTCATAGCCATCGCCCATGAAGCCTTCCTCGCATACGCACTTTCCGTCTTTGCAGATGGCGTTGTCAACACACGTTTTGTTAGAAGGTACAATGGTATCGAATGCCTTGCAGGTGAATGTTCCCGTGCATGTTTCTTTGTCCTCGTAGTATCCTCCGATCTGCAAGATGTGGGAAAAGCTCAACTTGTGGAAGGGCGTATGGCAAGCCGTTTTCACATTTATTACAGAATTACAGATATCTTCAATTGTTTTAAAGATATCGGTATTTTATTTAAAGATATCAATAATGTTTTTAAGATATCAAAAAATAATTAAAGTTATCTTAAATTCATTTCTGATATCCATGATACATTTACTGATATCTTCAAATGTTACGGTGATATCAACAAATTAGTTTGTGATATCTCTAAATGTATTTAAAATATCATTAAACAATTACCATCCTACAGTACATAAATATATTAGAAATAAATTCAAGATATTTTAAATTCAATTCAAGATATCTTGAAATAAGTTATACATATCCACAAATGCATTTCAGATATCTTTTATTCAATTAGATATATCTTTAATTTAATTAGATATATCTTTAATTCAATTCGATATATCTTTAATTCAATTCAAGCTATCATTAATTCTGACCGTTTCTTATATCAAACATCCAATTAAAGATATCATTAATACTTTTGGTGATATCTTTATATCAATTATTGATATCATTTATCTAAATTAAGTTACATTATTAATGTAACAACTTTAATAATGGCAACAATTGAAGATATCAATAATTAATTATTGATATCTGTATTTAGTTTCAAGATATCAGGAGTTGAATTAATGACATCATAACAAAACATGACATGTTGATATCTTTAAATCACATTTTGATATCAATAATCGAATTTAAGATATCAGCAATTCTTTTCAAGATATGTTCAATTCCACTCAAGATATCTTCAATTCATTTCAAGATATCTTTAAAACAATTGAAGATATCTTAAATTTTATTGCAGATATCTACAATTATCTGCATTTAAGATATCTTCAATTCCATTCAAGATATCTTCAATCCATTTCAAGATATCTTTAAAACAATTGAAGATATCTATAACTCCGTAATAAATGTGAAAACGGCTTGCCATAAGGGCGTTGGTCTTTGTCAAGTTGGCGAAATCAACCATTTGGTTTGGGTTGTTCGTTGTTTAACGCCGCAATCAGCAATATCCCAGCTATTTGACGGCGGTGTGTAAGTAATCAAGTCTGGACCAGACAATCCAGTGATTGATATCATGAGCATTGATCCAATCGATCATCGATGAGCAATTGGGATTGATGACATGCATCAACCAAGTCAGCGAGCCTGACCATCCGACCCCGTTTGTCGCCTCTTACAGCATGCATGGGTTGCTGAAGACCTTTTCTACCTTCACGGGTCGGGTTCAGTGTCGTCAAATTTGTCTAAAGGTTGTAAAAAGTGCAAATTAAAAAACATAATTAAAAAAAATAATCTTTGCTATATTTTACCTGGATGTATTGCTGTTTGTATCTGCAGCCACACTCAGCCAGGGGAACACACTCCATGCCGCTAGCACCAGAGACGGGGTTGAGTACCATACCAGCGATACACACGCACTTGGCATCAAAATTGTATGGCGCAGCGTCGACAGTTTCGTCAGAGCGGTAAGGGAACGCGCATGTCTTGGCCAAGGGTGGTGCTCCGTATCGGAGCTTCCAGTTTGCAGACTTACATGTAGGTCCATCTGCAATGGTAGATCACGTAAAGAATATAAATTACCCTGTTCAACGGACGCGGCGCAATGGTAGACCCTTTTGACTCACTGGAAGTGCAAAATGTTATTTGTCCAGCTGTAAGAGCGTGACGAGCGAACGCTTTAACCACTAGGCTACCCGACCGCCCCACCAGTATATGAAAGAACCAAGATCGTAGGGGACAAAGACAACTAGCCTGGTCCCTTAATGTAACCGCCTATCCCCATCTTATGTTTGTTGTTTTACGCCGCACTCAGCAATATTCCAACTATATGACGACAGTCTGTAAATAATCGAGTCGGGACCACACAAACAAGTCACAGACATCATGAGCATCGATTCATGTAATTGGTATACGATGACATGCATCAACCAAGTCAGCCAGCCTGACCACCCGATCATGTTAGTCGCCTCTTACGACAAGCATGGTCGCCTCTAACGACAAGCATGGTCGCCTCTTACGACAAGCATGGTCGCCTCTAACGACAAGCATGGTCGCCTCTTACGACAAGCATGGTCGCCTCTAACGACAAGCATGGTCGCCTCTAACGACAAGCATGGTCGCCTCTTACGACAAGCATGGTCGCCTCTAACGACAAGCATGGTCGCCTCTAACGACAAGCATGGTCGCCTCTTACGACAAGCATGGTCGCCTCTAACGACAAGCATGGTCGCCTCTTACGACAAGCATGGTCGCCTCTAACGACAAGCATGGTCGCCTCTAACGACAAGCATGGTCGCCTCTTACGACAAGCATGGTCGCCTCTAACGACAAGCATGGTCGCCTCTAACGACAAGCATGGTCGCCTCTTACGACAAGCATGGTCGCCTCTAACGACAAGCATGGTCGCCTCTTACGACAAGCATGGGTTGCTGGAGACCATGTTCACGGGGAATCCCCATCTTAGTCGGATCTCAGGACAAGCATGGGTACATTGGAACGATCCTGACGGGTAAATGTATGTTACATAGGTTTACAAGGTAGAGATTTAGTGTTTGAAAGTTTCAATAGCCAACCATCGATACCTTTTTATGTATTATATAGGATGACATACCACATTTGCTCAAGGTCCGCATAGCTTCTACTGCTTTTCTCACGTCGCCGATAGTATCACAAATGTCAGCGCGGCTATTTCCATTGTAGATCGATTCAAGTTCTGCAATTTTTGTCGTCACAAAGGAGCATATATCAATCCCTGAGCATGTCGCAGCTTTGCAAGCAGTGGGGATATTTTTACCAAGATCACAGTTGGTCATTGCTTCAAGTAGATCATCGCATTTCGGGTCGGCACAGTCGTCATTAGCTGTTGGGAAGAAACGAGTGAGTGGGTAAGTTGGGTTCACATGATTAATGTTTCTCAAATACAAATCTACCAGAAATCTCTGATCAACTTCTCCTGTCTGTACCAAAATACAGACTAAATTCCTTCGGTGCTCGACCCTTCTTTCATGCTGGTGCCTCTCTATGGAATTCCCTTCCCTTCAGAATGTGAAGACACCTCAACACTGCAGCCTTCTGCACTACCCAGATTGTCAGAAGGGCTGCATTCCTGGAGGCAAATCCGGGCATTAATCAAAAGCGACAAGATCACGTTTGTTGGCCTGGATATGTCTGAGGCTGTAAATGGGCCTATTCCAAAGAATTTTGTATTCATCATTTTCCATGATGCCCTCTACATATTCTGGGTCGTACCATGGGTGGGCGTCTGTGTCAAAACCACAAGCATGGCGAAGACGGTAATAAAATGATCGAGCTGCACCATCATGTCGTTTAAGATACTGTGACAAAGCTGGGCATCCACTGACAATGTGTTGGACAGTCTCATTAAATTCATTACATAATCTATATTTCATATTTACATTTGGATGCAAAATCACACTTTGACGGTTTTGAGTGGGAAGTGACTGGTCCTGAGCAGCAAACAGAAAGCCTTCTGTTTCACTTTTCAGGTCAGACGACTTCATCCAAGCGAAAGGCTCTGCATGATTGCTGATCTTCTGATGCGGTGGTCGTTCAGAAAGCTAAACTGCCGTATGAGACGCTGGAATGTTTTATGATCACGTGACCATCCCACCCCATCCCATTCTGTACCCACCCATTCACACTGGGGTAACACAGGCATATTTCTAACTGTCTCTTGCCTTAGGACATGCCATAACCACAAGTTTATCGTAACTCCCGTTCCTTAACATAGACAGTCGACAGTCGAAGCGCTAAGGTTTTGTACAACGACACCCAGAACAGAACTATTCCAGCTCTAAAGGCGGCCTGTAACTAATAGAGAGTGGACCAGACACACAAGTGATTGATATGCTTGTTACATGGTACGGTGACATGCTGTCACCAAAGACTAACTAATAAGCATTGAGTCTGCCCACAAGATTTAATTAAATCGCCTAATATGATGCGTATATATTACTAGCGACCGGGTAAAACCCGGAATATCCTCGGGGCTAATTAGAATTAATGTTTCTGAATTTTTATTGTCATTAAAGAACATTAACCTCTTTGAAATCGAGTGGACGGTACTGTTTATTCAATTCAATTATTCAATAAATGGTATTAAAGATTTCGAGCTTGTTTAATACAAAATATGATGCAAAGAAGAACGTGTGTCTATCCTGACGTAGTGACGGACAATTCCGACCATGTGTATTTTAAACAGATAAGGTGACAAAAAATAATGATACGTCCTTTGAAATATCGACTCTGGTCTAAGCTCTGATCATGGGAAGGTTGAAATACATTGGTAAGTATATCCCTGCCAAAATCAGAACTAGATTTGAGATAATGATACAGCCATTGCAGAAACTTCTCAGATCCAAAATAAGCAACACCAAATCCTTGGTACCATCAGTTCTGATGGAGGGCGTCAATACTCACGTTCGCTGGTGGTCGGTGGGATCGTCGGAGACGCCATTGTAGACGTCACAGTCCCAGGTGTCGTAGTTACAACCACTGGTGTTCCGAATGTTGCTATTGTAGTTTCCGTCTCCTGTCCCGGCGGGGGGAGACAACTGGAACAAACAAGAAAAATATACTCATCGACAAATCTAAAACATATGCAGTAAGCTACGGTGATAACGAACTCAAAAGGACCACTAAATTTAGTTGGTTTAAACCTTAGTTCGTTATAAACACATAGTTCGTAATAACCGCAGTTCGTTATAAACGTATATACAGCATATATACAACAAATAGCCGACTAAAAAATAAGTTCGTTATATCGGTCAGTTCGTTATAAGAGTGTTCGTTATAAACATAGTTTACTGTAAATGTATTGATAACAGAAACGTAATACGTGTAGTTATCGGGACTAAATACTTAGCTTATACAGAGACGATATGGCTTTGTATATTACCCTGTCTTCAAGGACAGTTAACTACGGTTATAACGAACTCAAAGGGACCACTAAATTTAGTTCGTTTAAACCTTAGTTCGTTATAAACACATATACAGCATAAATACAGCATATAGACCGTACCAAAAAAACAGTTCGGTATATCCGCAGTTCGTTATAAGCGTGTTCGTTATAAACGTAGTTTACTGTACGTATAAAGTGTTAAAAAGAAAACTTATCAAAGAAAACCAAAGATATGTATTGTATTTAAGGCCTCCTACTAGAAAAATTATAAAACTAATTCACGAGAACTTTTGTAAAGAACTCGACTGCATTGTAAAATTGTTACCATTGTAAACATTCAAAATATATATCTAACAACCTACGAAAAGAAGAGGGGTTTAGATAAATAAGCAATAACACAGTTACATTGTTACCCTTGAGAAAATATCAGATTGTTACATGCATACATACTTAATCACACACTGACACCGAAATTATGAATGTGCGAATGAAGCAGTTTCGGGAAATGATCTCACATAGATCAAACAGTGAGGTGGTGTGAAATGGGATTACACGTCGCGTTAAGAATATTTAGATCACGAACAGTTACATTAGCATTCACGTTAGCGTACGTGTGTGGCTGCTTGAACTAGTACGAACTCACCGTTATTTTAGAGCAATATCCCACCTAGATACCTTATTAACCATGGATAAACAAATTAAGTTTTCCATGATTTTCTAAATTTGCATTCCCGGAATGCCAAAGAGGGCTGATATAATTTCTCGTCCTCTTGGTATTTCGGGGTTTTATTGTGTCAATTTTAGAACAAAATAAATGTACCTTGATCCAGGCACGCTGTTTTTCTCGAAGAATTGTTGAACATTCGCGTCTGTGCTGACGTCATTACCACCGATGGTGCATATGCCGCATGATGGATTGTAGAGGTCGGTTGCACGACATTGTATTCGTTGCAATCCAGTTGCGGCGACCTCAAAGTCACAAACGATTTCCTTGTCTGCGGTCATAAATCGGTATTCTTTGTCTGCCGTCAGTTCCAGAGAGTACTTGTCTTCAATGATGCTGACATCAACAGGAGAGCGGTTATGCTGAAATTAACAAAAAGAACTGACAATACCTGGTGGACCAAATTCGTGAATTAAAAAAAACTACACCCTGGATCGAGGTGATAGAATAACTATATTTAATGCGGTGGAGACTTGAATTGGGAGCGAATGATTGCCAAGATGCATCGACAGCCTACATGGATATTATTACCTGCGCAAGCGTCCGTGTCGTAAATACCACATGTTAGGAGTATGTTTGCGAGCATTTTGGCGTTATACCTAATATATTACATTTATGATACGGAAACACAGGAGGGTAATAATCTCTTTAATGTTTGTTTGTTTGTTTGTTGTTTAAAGCCGCACTCAGCAATATTCCAGCTCTATGACGGCGGTTTGTAATTAATGGAGTCTGGATCACACAATCCAGTGATAGACATCATGAGCATCGATCTTCGCAACTGGTATACGATGACATGCATCAACCAAGTCAGCGAGCGTGACCACCCGATCCCGTTAGTCGCCTCTTACAAGTATGGGTTGCTGAAGACCTATTCTACCCCGGATCTTCACGAGCCCTCTTTAATGTTATCGATGCACATGTATCCATTGTAGGATAAAAAAAGAAAAGCAACAATATGCACTGTATAATACAGCAGCGAAAACTATCCCAGAGGAACCATTTATAGAACATGAACAATTTTTTTTTAAGTATTCGTTTAAGTTTTCGACTGTTTGGAAAAATATGTTTATGACATTGTGATACTGTTTATCATGTACACATACTTTTGTACGATTAATACTTGAATTGTATCTCTAGTGTCGTTCTTAGCGAACTGAGTGTAAATATAGTTGAGTTCAGATAGCATATAAAATATTTAAACAGGTCTTACAGAAAGAACACCCCTTCTGCTTAGGGTGATTGTGCTCGATCCGACTTGTATATACATCCTAGCATTGTCTGTTTTTGTAGACACAATGATGGTGACGTCGTTTCTCCCCGGTTTATCCAGTGCACTGTCACAGGCTTTGGTGTTCAATAAATAGACACCACATGCTCTAGAAAGAGTCAAGGGAGTGTCTGGATCTGCAGAGTCAAAGGCCACCAAGTCCACCCCTCCTCCATTTTGATATGACATGGTACAAGTCTTCACATCTGGAAGAGAAGCAAATGGGTTATTTTTGCCGCTATAAGAATTGTACTATATCTCAGTTATATCATGGCTGTCGGTTTAATTTTGGAAGCAAATATATATCTCAATCGCATTTCAATCTCAAATCGGTCAGATTTATCGGCAGGGCAGAAACAAAACAAGCTTGAAAATAGCGACCAATCAAATTACAATTATACAATTATAAAGACAATAGAACCTAGATAATATGTATTATGCAATAAAGTCTGATACACAGTTAAACCCTACGCAAATTATCGCAGAGAACTATGAAGAACGAATCGTCATTTATTTCACGATAAAACATTGTTCCATCATGACGTCATTTCTGGAGATTCGAATATGCGCTCGCAACTTAATGACGTCGTATATTGGATGACGTTATTTTCGAGAGGGAAGTGTCCAGTGAGTTGTTCCCCTTAGACGTAGCCAGGCTTCGCAGAAAAGCGCAGTGGCCGAACGATCGCATCCAAAGTGGGAGAGATATGACAATCGGTATTAGGAGAAAAGGTACAGATAATCGACGTGAGGATTGTGAGAATATGCGAGAAATACCAAACCTAACCAAACTGATTGTAAAATAGACTCGTCCGACATTTCCGTGGTCGGATTCTGTTCAGGACGTCATCATTATTTGAATACGGGTATATATTTTGAAAGCTTGTACATTCTATCTTTATCCTTAAAGAGGCTGTACATAATGTTGATATCTCATCTAAGAAATAAACGACTCGTGGGCGTTGTTTATCGTACAATAATATAAGGGTAACGCTATTTTTCAGGGCATTATCATTTGTAGAAGCCCGAGGTCTTCCATTAACTGCCCGACGAAGGAGGGCAGTTGAAAAGACCGAGGGCTTCTGCAAATGATAATGCCCTGAAATATAGCGTTACCGTTATTATAGCTAAAATGGATGGAATTTGTTATCAAATAAAAAGAAACAACAATGTCGATTTTGAAACATTTACTGCAATCAACACGAATGTCACTGACCCCCTTTTACAAATATGGAAACGTCATAGAACAAACCAGATGACGTCACTATTGAATGTTACGTCACCTATCCCTATCCTATGACGTCACCTAACAACGGGCGTGATAATGGCCCGTCGTCAATTAATATGAGGGCATTATCAAGTTACAGTGGCCCGCTCATTTCTGATAACATGCGGGCGTTTTTATGATAATTCTATCCATTTTAGCTATAAAATGTTTTATTGTACCACATCTTAACAGAAAAACTTTCTCTGTAAATCCGTGCAGCGTAATTACGCCAAATGTACAACCTGGTTTTTCCGTTCATTACTGCGTAAATGCATAAAGATATAAAAGTCAATTCTTAGAAAGTCAAAAAGAAAACAATTCACTGAGTGCTTATTGAATGATTTAAACACAAAACTGTTCAAAAATTATTCGAAATCGAATTCAGCACAATAATGCAAAACAAGCCTTTCCCCATTCTAGTACCAGCATATCAGGAAACTGACAGTCTGTTCATAGGCGTGGCCTATATCATTAAACATTGTTTGGTTAGCCAATGAAATGCCATGACATCACTTGTAATTTATTCATTACCTTACGGCCATTATTCGTTAATCAGGGCGATTTTAGTGGGAAAGCAGTTGAATGGAGTCGACACATTTTCATGACGACCAGTCGCATGTATAGACAAAACATAGACGGTAAAGACGGTACCCACCTGCGCAACGATCTTTTCCATCTCTGAATACTTCGGCTTGACCTTCTTCCGAGCACTGACAAGTGTAGCCAAATTCTGTATTTATACAGTCTTCTTCATTATTGCAGAGATCGAGGTTTTTCTTGCATTCGTTGATTCCTGAGAACAGATAGTGTGTGAGAAATACTCAGTGATAATTTATCATTATTTTCGTTTGGTGGCCCAGTCGTCTAGGGCGTCGCAGTTCACTGGCTCGCCCAGATTATGTTTTTAGGTTTGTCACCAAAGTGGTAAACGTCCAAGACCTGCCTCACTTCGGGCTTTCTTCCCACACGCAGCTGGAATGTTGCTAAACAATTCACACATTTCAGTTGTATCATGGTGTGTGACCTGAATGTATACGGTTAGACAAAGGTCAATAAATCCCTATATGCTGCAGATGTCGAATCAGCGGGCCTCGAAGGGACGAGGTTATTCTATTTCAAAAATGAACTTATTTAAGTTTTTTTCAGACTTAAACCATATTATGGTTGAAAAATAACTTCTCTCAAATGTTGCATGACCTAGTGTTGAATCAGCACAAAATGCACGTTGAGAATGGCCACTGAATTCATGGCTCAATGTCAACTGCAACAATTGCCCTAAGTCGTCATAATAGGCAGTATGAATCATGGAATTCGACTGAATCATATGAATTTTGTCAGGGCAAAAAATGTGACTCGAAAAGAAAGAGCTATCGTAATAAGTTAGTATGAAAGTCGTCGAATATTGTTATTCATGTAAAATGTTTCCCAACAAAGGATAATTAACCTCTGTGGGTAAACAAATGCAGAATAAACTCCGTCGAAGGTTGTGATAAAATTATGCAAGTTTTGCAATCTTCATTAAAAGATGAACTTTACTTTTTATAAATATGTCCACTTTTACTAAACAATCCCGCCGTATTATTCTAAAAAATAAAATATATTGTTAACTTACTACGAAACAAATATAATCCGGTTTCCGCAAAACACAAATCGTGACAGGCAAAATGTGAAAACTTTTCTTATTACACGCAACAAGGGTATATATTCAAGGCTTCGTTAGATTGCAGACGCCCGTATATGGTACAAAAAGGTGAAATTGGCAGATGCTATCAACACACATGGTTTGAGCAGCGCCAGTAGTGATGGCAATATTTTACAAGAGCCAAATCATGCCTAGTCTCATAAATGACCCTAAAAAATGTAGAATGTATTTTAATAATTATGGTCACGTTTTCCAAATGTGGATAATATTGTCGTCTAGAGCAGAGTTTCACAGTGAAACCATTATTAAAAGAAATTTAAGTCCTGACTACGACCTAATATCTTATTAACAAACACATTCATGACTTACTCTTTGGGCAGAGCATCCGTACTTCGAAGTCATCACATGTTTCACCTTCGTCACATTGGTCACCCAGGAAGAAGTCTTCGATATTGCATTTAGTGTCACTGAATTCACTAGAGGGCTTCTGGTTGGCGATTGACCTGCACTCGATGGCGCGGGGATTTTCACATGTCCTGCATTCTTTTGCTCGCTGAAATGACCAGGGAAAATATTAAGTTCTACCGGTTGAGCAGGACGTGCTTACCTTTAAACACCTGGTATCATCACGAATGTTCAGTGATCTATTCATATGATTTTCACCGCTATGTTACCTTATGCGTCCAATTGAATCTGTTTGGGTCATAATCGACATTGGTTACTCTGCGGTGTCGACGTTCTATATTTAGGGAGCTGAATAACTTTTGTGTGTTTGTATGTTTAGAATCTGAGAAAGAGTCTGTGAAATTTCCCTCTAAATAAAGCCGGGTTTTTTTTAAATGAAGAATAATTTTAGTGAAACATTGACATGCGAATATTGACATGCCGTGATATAAATGAAGTACTGTTTCTAAGGACAAACTCACTCACTAACTCAATCCAGGATTCGTTATCAGATAGATTTAAGAGGGAGCGGAACCGTCCAGGTTATTGAGCTTTCAATGTCCATGAATTTAACGTGACGTTAAATTTTAACTCACTCACTCTTGCTGATGTTTTCACATAACATAATTCACTCGGGATAAAATATGTTTCCAGTCATCGCTTAAAAAATATACATTGTTTTCATTTGAAGGAGAAGCAAAAAAATTCTTTGTCCTAAATAATTTTATTTCCAAACATCCACAATGTCCAGTGAACGATCTTTTTTAAATTAAACCCCGAGGGCAAACAATATTTTCTAGCATTGTGAAAAGACTTTTTCCTTTCAATATCTGGACTAAATTATGGTTTAAATTTCAATTCGTTAAATTACCTTTACGCCAGATATCGGACCATTGAGATTTGAAATGCATCAATAGTTGGAGAATCATGAACCACACCTGCGCTACCATTGATGTTGGGATATATCGTTTATGTTAGTATATAACATTGATGTTGGTATCTACGATTGAGGTTATTAGCTACGATTAATGTTAGTATCTACAATTGATGTTAGTATCTACTGTTGATGCTAATATCTACCATTGTTGTTGGGTTCTCCTCTTCCTGGTCTCCGGCTTCTGGCTTATCGCCACTACACCAGTCGGTTAGCTTGAAATCCTCCTCTGGTTCTGAAATGATATTTCACTATCAGATACATGTTTGTTTGTTGTTTAACGCCGCACTCAGCAATACAGCTATATGACGGCGGTCTGTAAATGATCGAGTCTGGACCAGACACATTGGTGCCCCGGTCCACCTAGTAGTGAATGGGTACCTGGTAGGATAAGATGGCAATTGTTCATCCTCTAGCGCCTAACTTGCAGCTTGGGTTGTATATTCCCCACTGATGCAGTGACTGGGGTTATAATAGTGCTTCGAGCATGCCCCTGGGTTATGTGGAAATATGCACAAGATAAATTGCCTCTAAATGGATAGTCTTATGACATTCACTGCATAATCTACATTTCATATTTACATTTGGATGCAAAATCACACACTGAGGGGGAAGTGACTGGTCCTGAGCAGCAAACAGAAAGCCTTCTGTTTCACTTTTCAGGCCAGTCGACTGCATCTAAGCAAAGGACTGTACAGGGTTGCTGATCTTCTCAACACACTGCACATAAACCCGATGCAGTGGTATTAAGGTCTTTATTATAATAATTATTATTCACAGATTGAGTGATCCTGACACAGTCAGGCTGGCTAGACTCATCATCAGCTCAGGGCTCTTGTCCCCTCAACACGCAGCCCAGACAGCGAATGGGACTTCACCCAGGACGCGCTGCCTAGTCGAACCCACCCAGAACTTGTCGAAGAATGTGAAGACTCCCCAACACTGCAGCCTTCTGAATTACCCAGATTCTCAGAAGGGCTGTATTCCTGGTAGCAAACCCGGGTACTCTCCCAATGTCAGTCAACAGATTGGGAAGTACTAATCAGGCACTGAGAGCAAGGGTGAGTCGGACGACTTGGTTTTGGGGTTGCAAGCATGACATTTCGAAAGCGAGGTCCGCATAATTGCCATGTCTTACCAATCACATTAGTGTCAAAAGGGACAGAAAATTCCCTTATTATCAAATTTATCAAAAAGGACAAGATGAGGTTTGTTGGTCTGGACACGTCTGAGGCTGTATACGGGCCTTTTCCAAGGAAGTTTGTAGTTATCATTTTCCATGACACCCTCTACATATTCTGGGTCGTACCATGGATGGACCTAAGTGTCAAAACCACAAGCATGTGTGCAATTGTCATCTAGGGAAATCATAATACTGCGTTCATAAACGTTCTTATGTCCTTAAACCACCGTGACCATTACAAAATCTTAAGAAATAGATAATTGATTTGATGTGGTATTAGTAACTATATTTAAAATATATCATTCTAATTCTATGAGCACGATATCCCCTAAATGATGACCTCATCATTTCTATATGGATATTGAAGTGGAATTTTACAAGATGACTCAGGTCCATCCTGTAAAACGCTGGGCACAGATTCCAACGTTAAGATCTATATATGGATGGGACGATAGAAACATTCTCCGTACATTGTCTCTCGTTCATTTTCTGAATAGATACTCACTCTTGACACACACGAATTTCTTCTTTTCTAAGCATGTTATTTTCTCTATCTTCAAACTTGTTCCGTCTGCTGTGCTTGCGGCGAAGCATTCTGGTGTGTCGCCGGCAGAACAAGCAGGCACGCCGCCGACAGTTGGTCGCACGTAGCTCTCTGCACCTTTAGTCCTTCCGTTTTGGACATCATCTGCAGAACTGCCTTTACACAAACCGGCGATGAAGTACTGTACTCCTGCGGGGAAAAAAACATTGGTTGTCAAATGATGTCAATCTGATGATTTAAACTTGAAAACGAAATTGGGATTACTGATTTACCTTCACAAATGAAAATAACAGTTTCAATAAAATGGTTTTAACCAGTAAACGATTGAAATTCGATTACCGATTCATCTGTTAAATAATGCTGAACCTAAACTTTTACTTACTACAAAAGGTCTATTTTAAGAAGAAAGTTTTGTTCATACACAATATTGTATAAATCTTGTTTCCGGACAGTGAAGCCAATCAACACCTTCTAAATGGTATCAGAGATTCGTTTCATGTCGTCCTACAGTGATGTGACAGAATGCACACAGACTAGGGGCAAATACATGAAAGAAAACATCAAAAGTCCGGCACCCTAACAATTGTAATAATCCCAACCAACCTCAATAACCACCAATATTTGAAAACGCCCTATTTTGCACATGATAACAATCATGTATAAACCGCGAATGAAAACGAAAATAGACGTCAAGGATATGTTTGAAACATTTCATTTACGAATGTTAAATATTAACCAAATTACATGAAAACAATACTTAATCACGACCCTACGTTTCTGAATTTGTTTCTTAAGCAACCAATTAATGAACGAATTATATTTATGGTATACAGTGGTTTGGCATAAACGTTGATCTTAATATCATTCTTTATGGCGACCGCATCTCTGATGGCAGTGTCAATGAACTATTATTTGAAGCTGTTCATTATAATAACATATTGACAAAAAGATTAACTATGTCATTGTTTCCAGTAATGTTGTCATATTGTTGAATGCATGTTTTGATAAACTAATATTGATCAGTCTGTACTTTTGAAAAAGAAAAGGATCAAGTACCTAGGGGCAACATATGATATGGCATAATATGTTTAAAAAATAAATCCTGGAACATGTAGATTTCCTTAGTTCTCTTACCTGGGTTGTCCAGAATGAGGGCAAGGATGGTTGCTTCATCTTCGCTCTTTGCTGCAGCGACAAGCTCTCCACTCTCCTCTCTACATCTCTGAGCAGCCAATGGGAAGTTGAGCGGGTCATCAAACACCTTGACGCATCCTTGACTAGATTTTGTCCACCCGGCAATACAGCTGTCCGTACTCGCTGAATATCATAATCATGACGATCAAAGCAACGGAAAAAAACTTCATTATACAGAAAATGTTGCTGTTTTCAACTAATAGATATACGAACCTACAGTTGTAAAAGAAAACCCGATTTTTTTCTCGTATGACGAGTTAATCGGTCCTTGCAGGTTGGTATTTTAACACACACATCCTTCCAACTGTGGGTGTACTTTGTATAGTAGTATATTTCCCAAGCGCACAATGAAGTATATTTGTTCTTTGACGATGCAGTCAGCATTATTTCAGCCATATCACGGGCCAGGCAATCACGTGGTCGATAGCACGAACAACATCCAACATACAAGGGGTTCGATGGGGCACAATCAACCAGGGCTTGACCATAATCGACTTATACGGCATACATCGGATGCTGAGGTCCTTTCCTGCAGCGGAACACTATCTTTGCTCATAAGATACCGAAAGGTATTGAACGGATGAACGAAACTATGTGCCTATGCAATGAAGAGACAATGAAATTACTAACAGGAAGTCGACATTAGCCGTATAATTAGTTTGTTAGGAAGTCACCATGCTTACCAGTGCAAACCTTGCCATCACCATCGTAGCCATCACGGCAACCCGTGAGTTCATCTTCAGTACAGTTAGCTTGGGGACTGGCACCAGATTCTTCAGTCTCAATGCGACCGGCAGTGCATCGTTGTTTTTCACCGCAATCCTTAGTGTTGTAGATTGTTTGCCTGGGCTGAAAATCAAGACAACACCACATTTTATATTCACATTGTCAATCCGGTGTTACACAGATGTCTCCTCAAAGAATTGATTTGAGTTCTGTTCAAATGAAAATAAGATGTAACCCGTTCCAAATACAGGTATGTGCCTCAAAATCAGATTTGAGGTATCAGTGAGTGAGTCAGCAAACTGTGTTTTCCTGATACCTCAAAAGGGGCACGAGTGGCCCAGTCGTCTAAGGCGCCGCTACTCGCTGTGCAGTTGCGTCCATTGGGCACGCCAGAAACCTATGTTTGTGTGTTCGAATCCCGGTTCGCCCCGATCATGTTTCTAGGTTTGTCAACACCATACCCGTGCTCGTGGGTTTCACCGAAGTGGTAAACGTCGGAGACCTGCATCACTTCGGGCTTTCCTCCCACATTAAGCTGACACGCCGCGATATAACTGGAATACTGTTAAAAGGGCGTTAAATCCAACTCACTCACACACTGATGAAGAATACAAACAGGACATTACCTGCAACTGTTTCCCAGACTCGGTCGTACATGAGCAGTCTTCCTGTTTGACACACTTATCTGAGAGTGGATCAAGGACGTATCCCATTTCGCATACACAGTCCAGCACACCCTTGTACTCGGTACCATCGCAGTATGGTTGTTTCAGGAATCCCAGCGATGGACGTGTGTATTCTTCAGAACAATTCATTGCTGGAAAGAATTTCATTTGCTATATTAGCAACAAATGTTATTCAGGCCTAGTAAGGCAACAGATGCTTTGTTTGTTGTTTTCTTATTGTTACAGACTCAGTAGCAATGAAAAACATCGCATACAAATAGTATTTTGCAGGATGTTCTTATTTTGCAGTGGTCACTATTCATTGTACAGACCTTTATTTACATACGGCTCTTTAGGTAACAAACTATGTATGAAGGTATTGTTATGTGTCAGTAGTGAGTGTTGTAGATCATTTTTAGTAATGATCGGTGGCAAATTAGTGAGGTGCTGGCAAAATTTCGAGTGTCGTCAGCAGAAGCGAATGGAATTTAGAGTTACCCTGATTGTTTACACACATGGCAGACTTGATCGTTCGAGAAGTTTCGGGATGGGACATCTGATAGAATGTTGCCTGTAACTATGTAAGAGCGATAAGAGGGTGACTCGATGCCTTTTTCCGACCTGACTTGTGTCTAATCTATATGTCTACAAGTGCGGATTGGACCATTAACTTAAAACACGACATTCCTGCCAGCTTCCAATACTATTCCGGATTCGAGAAAGGAGACCGGGCTGTTTCAAGACATTTGAGAGACAAAATTCTGTACATTCGCGAGTGCACTATTGTTTATTATAGGGCATATAATTTATTGCTGCTGCCATGAATTTGACGCATTGTTTTATCTTTTTCTAAACCGAAACCTGCGTGTTTGAAAATAGTTTTATTGATTATTGATTGTTCAATTATCTTGTTTGGTCATTCACTGATTTCACATTTTTTTAGTTTAGTGTCAACCAGTTTCTGAGTTAGAGTTTCAGTTTCAGTTTGGAAAGCATGTTCCAACATGGAGAAAGTTCTGTTGGTGGCAATTCCGATCCACGTTTAACAGTAGATGAGAAAGGCAAGACTGTACTTACGACATGGGGAATCTGGACTGTTCTTCCAATTTGGCACCACATCAATTCCAAGTTCGACAACTTTTTTATCCACGTAGCTGTTAAGCGCCTCGCAGACGGCGTTTTCCACACCACTGCAGACATCCTCAGCACATCCGTTCATAAACTCTGAATAGTCGTCGTCATTGAGTAAGCCAGCAACGACCTTGAAGAATTTGCATGCTTCCAAACCGGCAGCCGTTTCTTCTTTTGTGCATTCATCGCCCAATAGTGTTGGGTCAGAACATCTGCAGGAGATAAAATATTGCTTAAATGCATATATGTGATTATTTTTACTTTGTATTTATTTAATGAATGATGATTTGTTTCATGGTATGCTGTGATTGCAGGTTCCAATTCAAAGCGTTAAGGGGGGGAAGGCCGGGCATTTGCTGGCCTTAATGCGAATCAGTAGGGGACGCTGATCGTGAATGAGGAGAATGTCGACTCTGGTGACGTCGACATAAGCCATTAATTGTGTCTACCTTAACACTATGAAGCTACGCTTTTGAGTGACACACACCTCAAACACTTAAGTTTCTTACTTTTCATCGTTGGAGTCGGGGTCGTTGTACAGCCACTGGTCGCCATACGTTGCAGAGTCCTTCCTATTAATCACATCAACTCGTCTAGGCTTCCCATTAATGTTTCGCTTCTTTGTTTTCAGTTTAAACTTGAATGGGTCTCCCTTACGGTTGATGATGAAATCGTCGGCATTGGTCCATTTACCGCACAGACCGCACATTTTTTCCTTGAATTTCGAATCGATGACACTATTCCACTTGCTTCCCTGAATGTCTAATTTCAAACCATAACCCTTGAAAACGCATTTTCTGCCGCACATTCTCGCAGAAACTTTGTTGTTCAACCATTTGTTCGAAGCTCGCCTTGTCTGAAACATTCAAAGTGAAACCGTTTGGACTATCTTTTGGGAACAGATCTAACTGTCGGATGTGCTTCTCAAGATAAATTGGGAGCGGTCGGGTAGTCTAGTGGTTAAAGCGTTCGCTCATCACGCCGAAGACCCGGGTTCGATTCCCGACATGGGCACAATGTGTGAAGCCCATTTCTGGTGTCCCCCGCCGTGATATTGCTGGAATACTGCTAAAAGCGGCGTAAAACCATACTCACTCACTCAAGATAAATTGGAATTCGGTCATAAATTTCTTAAGTATTCTTCTTTAACTTGCATATGGATCAACGGTGTTTCGTTTAACATTCATCGATATTTATAAATAATAAGACATATCGTATACTGAAGGAGTCTTTTATGAATCACAAAGCCAAAACAATGTGGTAGGTGAACTTATTTAGTTCCTTTGAACACCATAGCCAGAAAGAGATTCATGTACAGTTCTGAAGGACTAGTAAAGCGAGAATATCCATACTACTGCGACCGCGTTTGGTTCACATTCTTCCAGTTATTGTACTTTCCTAATCTAAGTTCATGGAATGGAAAAAATGTACAATTACAAAACAAAACAGTAGAATAAAATTTCAGCTGTTGTCTGTCGGTTGAACTATCCTAACAGCCCGGTGAGCTGAACGTCGGTGTTCGACCCTCTAGCCGTATCACACCAAACGACGTAATCAATAGATGGTACTTGTTACCTGCCTAGCGAAAATAACAAAAGTCAAATAACTCGCTCAATAAGGCTCACAGCTCAAGGAGAGTAATATTCATGCCATGGTTTGATGCAGGCTCTCCGCTGGTCAGAAGTGCGAATTAGCAGACTATGGTCCTTGAAATTAAGGGTTTCACTGTATGAAAAATGTCAGCCTTGATATATTTAACGATAGAAATCAATGAAGATTTTGAATGATATTGGACTTACCACGCGGCACCCTCCACGTCTAGAGCTCAAATCAGCGATTATGCAGTCTCCGGCCTTGGCTCTGGCTTTGGTTTGACATAGGCGTACTTGCATAGATTCTGTACAGGTGACCTTCTTGGCAGGTTTTCCGCAGGGTTTGTGCTTGGTGATCACTTCCACCGAAGGGTACTGTTTGCCGGTGTGGGGACAGTTGTTTGTGATGGCGAGGTAGCGACAAGGGCCCATGAAGTCGAAGAAGAAACGGTTGCAGGCATAGCAATGGGGATCCCCACTGCAGCCGCACTTGCACTGACTTTCAAGATCTAAAAGCAAACAGGATAATTACTTAGACCCGTTACGATCCGGGGTAGAATAGGTCTTCAGTAACCCATGCTTGCGGTAAAAGGCGACTATGCTTGTCGTAAGAGGCGACTAATGCGATCAGGTGGTCAGGCTCGCTGACTTGGTTGATGCATGTCATCGATCCCAATTGCGTGGATCGATGCTCATGATGTCAATCACTGGATTGTCTGGTCCAGACTCGATTATTTACAGACCGCCGTCATATAGCTGGAATATTGCTGAGTGTGGCGTTAAACAACAAACCAACCAACTCTTAGTCCGAATGATGTCTTTGGTACAAGGCCTGTATCTGAAAAAGCACGGTCCTTGCTTGCAAGGCCGAACGTTAGGAAGAATACTCACCGACACAGTCGCCCTCTTCAGTCATGGAATAACCTCTTGCGCACTCGCACTCATGAGCGTAGTAAAGTGGTTCACATTTCTGCGTCGGTGAGCATGCGCGTGGGAACCTCTTACAGACGTTTTCACCTTAAAGAATGATTATTAAATTTAACAGATTAGAATTACAAATTCGCTGCCTACTCAAACCCACCCAGAACTTTACGGAGAATGTGAAGACTCCCAAACACCGCAGTGTTCTGCATTACGCAGATTAATACTATTCTTACTTGTGTTAAACATTCTCGGTGATGTATCTATAGTGGCTGTCAGAAGTGTATACTGCACTTGTGCCCTGCATGAAAGGGCAAACAACCCGTCAAAACTATTACATAGCATGGAAGGCGCCCACTTTTCACAAGCTCATGGAACACGCATCTGTGTTTGTCTATCATTATCCGTATGTTAGATTGTATTTTTCTACTTACTCTCTGGGCAACAAATCTTTATCTTGTAGTCTTTGCATTCTTTGCCTCTACAGGAGAAACCTCTTCGTACGTTGCATGTGACGCCTGTCTTGGCTTCGTCGCCATTTTCATCATAACATTCAATGCCGATCGGTTCTTTACAGAACTGGTTACCCTGTGATAAAAAATACGAACGCTTTTTATCTGTCAATTGTTAATTCTTTTCATAACGAAAGGCATCAGTCATGAATCACAAAGAGTTATGAATGTATTTTGGTATCATGCGTTTATAGTGCTGACAAACCTAAGATACAATAAGGATGAATCTGGTATTCAAACCCACGGTTTACTGTCTCCTGGCACGCCAAAGGGATGCAACTCTGCGCAACCTACACAACAGGATATCAATATTATGCGGGATAGGGTTATAACCCCTTTCACATAACTGAGGCAACATCGCAAGCAATGGGTTTTACACATTTCCCATTGGGTATTGTAGCAGCAGAGTAGGTAGTTACCCTGCTAGCTATATAACAATTTAGGGGGGGGGGGGGGGGGGGGGGGGGGGAGTGTATTATTAATAATAAGGACAACTTACATACCCTTTTTACCTCTTTGAACTTTGCAATTAGGTTTTTAAACAACGCATGGTAATAAACACTACAACATTTATTGTACGATGGTCAGCGGTGGATCAAATCCTGATTTAATCACAGAAGCATCAGTTTCTAGGTTTGTCAGCACCATACACGTGCTCGTGGGTTTCACCGAAGTGGTAAACGTCTGAGACCTGCATCACTTCGGGCTTTCCTCCCACATTAAGCTGACACGTCGTGATATAACTGGAATACTGTTAAAAGCGGCGTTAAACCCAACTCACTCACTCACTCACAGAAGCAACATACCTTTCCTGGATACAGGCTCTGTGAAAGAAAAACACATATATTACATAATAATTACATTACGTGCACGCTAATCAGTTTTACATCGGTACGATAAAGTTATTGATAGTACATATTTGCACGTCTCTCTTCGTTTAACATTACATAATTAATAATGCCAAAATTGATGTAACTACGATTAAGAATAATATTGTGATGAGTAACTTTTTTTGGATTAAACTATATACCGTTAGTGTATTCGCTTTCATTTTGATAAAACTATATACCGTTAGTTTGATATCGATCATAAATTTTGAGTTAATGTCCCATCGGTATTGTTTCAGTGATAAAGCGACTCGCGTTGTCAGTTAAGTTTTACCGTCACTTTCATTTGATAATACAATTCCATGCCTAAGTACGGGAAAAGTGTTAAGAAACTTTCCGATTATAGATTATAAATTTAAGTAACTTTCCATGTCCAACTTCTGGTTATCTTAGTTCTCACTTAAACGAAGTTTATACATACGGCCAAGGCAGCAATTTGCGAACGAGTCAGTGACGCTCCTCGAGAGTTCTTTATTGGTGAAATCATCCCTGAGCATTTCTTTGGGGTTCTTCTGTCTGGATCTGTAACATTCATAGGAGGAACTTGTGAAGTCTAAATTCTTTCAAAGAAGGCAAAACCCTTTCCATTATCAAAAGAAATATCTGATAAAGGCATCGTCCACTGTACGGCTTAGGCCAATCTTAAGTGTCAGGTCGAGAGAATAATTAAAGGCAAAATATTGGCAAACATTGTGTGAACGGATCATTGAAAATCAGTGACGACACCATGTGTTCGCGAAAAGAAAGAACATGTCCAAAGAAGCTTTAGTTTCTCTTACCATATGCACACACAGCATATTTCAAAGCGAAGTCAACATCCGATCTGAACTGAACTGTATCGTCCTGGGTATCGTAAACGACTTGGACACATCCACTTTTGAAGTTACCGAGCCCGTCGTACAGAGGTAAGTCGATACTAGTTGGGATAGAGTCTTTTGTGAATCTTGCTGTTCGACCTTCAGATCGGTCGACGCAACCACCAATCCAGATGTCTGTTACGAGAAAACCCAAACGTATAGTTTTCCCTTTCTCACAGTATCACCACACAGCATAACCTACAGTACTCTATGTAAATAATATCAATGTAGTTGTTGAGTGTTTTTATCACGGAGTAATATTAACATTTAAGGTTATTTTCGTTTGCAAATGTTCTTGATAAGGAGAGTGAAATAAACTAGTTACGACTGGTTTCCCTAAGCCAGTGATAAATCAGCGAGAGTATATCGTTTTCAAGGATTTTGTAGATATCGGAAGGAAATGCAATTTGCATTTTTTATAATTAATTTCCTCTGAAAGTCCTTTGTTCAAGAATTAATAAGCAAAGATGTACTTACGTAGTTTCCTGGCTGTAAAACATAAATCAAGAAGTTATACATTTGAAAAACAGTTGAAAAAGAGAAATTTCACTCGAATGTTAGTAATTAATTCTTTTAGCTACAATGCACACTCCTTATGAACACATCAATATGTTTTGGAGTGAAAGGTTTTATTAGGCTGATACACCAAGACGTATCTGACATAACGTGTTTGACTTGGAGTGAGTGAGTTCATTTATGCCGCTTTTAACAGTATTACAGTTATATTACGGCGTGTCATGTGGGAGGAAAGCCCGAAGTGATGCAGGTCTAGGACGTTCATCACTTCTGTGAAACCCACGAGCACGGGTATGGAGCTGAAAAACCTAGAAACATAATCGGGGCGAACGGGGATTCGAACCCACAATTATAGGTTTCTAACGTGCCCAAGGGACGCAACACTGCACAGCGAATCGCGGCGCCTTAGACTACTGGGCCACCCGTGCACCCGTTTGACTTGGATATGTGTCATTGATGTTTGATGTAAGACAAAGAAAAGTCAACTTACGTAAATTCCTACGTCCTGTGAAAAGAATAGAAAAGAAACAATATTACCACTAAATAAATTAAGGATTTAATCACTTTTACGTTTTTACATATACATGTTTTTATCCATAGCATTTATCATTCGCAACATTGACAATTTGATAATATCATAAATGCAGTTATCAATTCGCATAACTTTTATCTGTTACAAATTGTAAAAATACTTGTCCACCAGTTTGTAATATTCACCTTCAACCCGAGTAAAATTTTAATCAATAAACACCAATATGTAAAAAGAGATAATGGAATAAAAAAAACAACATACAAACAAATACAACTTTCACAACATATTCCTGCACTTCCTTGTAATTCCTGCATTTGAGATAAGCTGAATTTGTGTTATTGCATTCATGTCCCAATGACTCTAAACATTAAGCCACGCCCACCGCGCGGACTACTTTTATTTCAACGGAATAGTACTGTCGAAGGAATTCCTTTTCTGATCACATGTGTCGTCATGCACAGGATATATAGCGAAATTAATGCATCTTCATTGTCCAAACTACCATTTGAGACCGAATGCCGAGAAGGAATGAAACAGCAAACGTGCAGGCTCGCTCGCCTGTTTTTATTTTTACCCCGTCTGGCTTCGGTTCCACAACTTTCATGTCTGCGGGTTTCATTTCTAACTAGCATTTTTCGAACTGTGTTTTCCCGTTTTCAGGGAACATATCTATTTCTTTTGAGTGATTGCGTGATTATTGTTTAACGCCGCATCAACAATCGTCTAGCTATTTGCGTGGATTGTTCCCAAGAATTATGGCTCACATTTTACCGTACCGTTATTTTGCAGACCAAGTCATTTGAAACAGTCGCCTTCTCCACGAATTTGATGTCTTTGGATTTCATTCTCACCAGCATTTTCCAACTGTGTCTTCCCGTTATCAGAGAACTAATGTTTGAATCTGGCGGTACCTGACCATGTCATTTGAAACATCCGCCTTCTCCCGGACATATTTGTTCCGGTTCGTTACAGTCTGACTGTTGCATTGCTTATCGCCCGTTGCCTTGATATGACAGGTTCTTTGCTTTGATCCTACTCTCCGTTGATTGGCTACTGATTTTGTGGGCGTCTCAAGGTATGTGCATAACTTAAAAATCAGCTGAATCATGTCACACCACCGTATGTATTGGAATACAATCGCGCCCTTTTTATCTGTTTGATACATACAACTGTTTTGGTTTAACTATTGTAGATAACACATGTTTTCGTTGTCGAGTTTAAATATAAGTTTTTCGATCCTTACCTCAATGAACCAAAACGAACCCACAAACCCACTTACTTGAACTACGAAAAAGGAGAAAAACATGACTGTTCTACTAACATAAATATAAATGCATTTTATGTCCGTCACCTGGAGTCATAGATCGAGTCGCGCACGATATTTCCATTGGTCTGCAGGCACAATGCTACGGTGGCCCATAAGGGACATGGAGTCTGTTTTTCCATATTTTGATATTTCACTTACTTTTATCGTAACCTTTTGCAAATTTGTCAGACAAATCGTGTTAATCTGCAAAAGGTTACGATAAACAAAAGTGAAACATCCAAATATTGAAAAACAGACTCCATGTCCCTTATGGGCCACCGTACAATGCTCATATCCCTTTCATCATAATTTCTACCCTTTGTTTCAACGTTTAGTGAAAATCAGCGACATAATGCTTACACATGGTGATCTAGGAAACTGTTCAAAATCAAACGCTCACTCTTCTCTTTCTCAAATTTAAAGAGAAAGAACTTATGATCTATCGGACACATTAACCTTCTAATCAAAAGATAAGTTGAGATAATTTCTGTAGACAGTATGACATTCATTTACATGCACAGTTACGGATTTTCACAATTAAGGAAAATTCTTTCACATGCACGAACATTCTTTCACATGCGCGATAGAAAGGATAAGATGTTAGAAAACAAGATAAACACACCATGCCAATATATCAAAGGGGTAGATGTATGATTTATTCTGAACTAAAATAAGGGGAAAAACGCATGCTACATTCACCAGTGTCTGTTTACTAATTTTACATATTAGTATACAAAAAGAGCACAGTAGCTCACCAGGAAGAACACTAATGTAGTTATTTGATAATATCATGAAGTTGTCAACATACATATTTAGATTCAATTTTCTAAAGCATAAGTCGCATGGAATTGACACAACATAATGAAGAAATTGACGTAATATGTCTTCATGGGGCATATTTATAGGGTGGTCGAATCGCAAATGTCATACGTTACCCTAACTACATGTTATCACGATAGAAAATATATCTCACGTTTATAACAGAGATAATGAAGATATGCTAAAGACATGCTGTGTTAAACATTTTAATGCAAGTGTCAGCAAGGTACAATTGATTCAGAAGTGATTAATGTCTGCATACCTTGACTACAATAAGCTAAGACAGAAAAGGGCAGAAATTGCTACGAGAGGAGTATAATTTGAGGGACGGGCCCACTACAACTGGCGGGTTGTAATCACATAAATTATACTTCCGACTTCAAAGTTGATGTCATTGTGGAGACAAAGATTGAAGTTGAATTAAATAAGATTACCTTTCCTGCTTTGAAAAAAATGATTAGTCGATGCCTTTACAGGCTAAATTAAGTTGCGAAAAAGAAGAAATATAGCAAAATGTGAACAGTTAAAACGTCCTCTAAAGGATGTAGATAAATGCGGATGGAAAAAGCAATTTCAAAGTGTCACCTCTGCGCCCTCTCTGTCTTCTGCGCTTTCTGTTACCTCTGCGCCCTCTTTGTCTTCTGCGCTTACTGTTACCTCTGCGCCCTCTGCGCTTTCTGTTACCTCTGCGGCCTCTGCGGCCTCTGCGGTCTCTGCGGCCTCTGCGGCCTCTGCGGCCTCTGCGACCTCTGCGCTTTCTGTTGCCTCTGCGGCCTCTGCGGCCTCTGCGACCTCTGCGGCCTCTGCGGCCTCTGCGACCTCTGCGCCTTCTGCTCCCTCTGCGGCCTCTGCGACCTCTGCGGCCTCTGCGACCTCTACGGCCTCTGCGACCTCTGCGCTTTCTGTTACCTCTGCGGCCTCTGCGACCTCTGCGCTTTCTGTTACCTCTGCGGCCTCTGCGGCCTCTGCGGCCTCTGCGCCCTCTGCGGCCTCTGCGGCCTCTGCGACCTCTGCGCCTTCTGCTCCCTCTGCGGCCTCTGCGACCTCTACGGCCTCTGCGACCTCTACGGCCTCTGCGACCTCTGCGCTTTCTGTTACCTCTGCGGCCTCTGCGACCTCTACGGCCTCTGCGCCCTCTCCTCCCTCTGCGCTTTTGGTTGCCTCTGCTGCCTCTGCGTCCTCTGCGGCCTCTGCGACCTCTGCGGCCTCTGCGGCCTCTGCGACCTCTGCGCCCTCTGCGCCTTCTGCTCCCTCTGCGGCCTCTACGACCTCTACGGCCTCTGCGACCTCTACGGCCTCTGCGACCTCTACGGCCTCTGCGACCTCTGCGCTTTCTGTTACCTCTGCGGCCTCTGCGGCCTCTGCGGCCTCTGCGGCCTCTGCGACCTCTGCGCCTTCTGCTCCCTCTGCGGCCTCTGCGACCTCTACGGCCTCTGCGACCTCTACGGCCTCTGCGACCTCTGCGCTTTCTGTTACCTCTGCGGCCTCTGCGACCTCTACGGCCTCTGCGCCCTCTGCTCCCTCTGCGCTTTCTGTTGCCTCTGCGGCCTCTGCGGCCTCTGCGGCCTCTGCTCCCTCTGCGCTTTCTGTTCCCTCTGCTCCCTCTGCGGCCTCTGCGTCCTCTGCGTCCTCTGCGGCCTCTGCGACCTCTGCGTTTTCTGTTCCCTCTGCTCCCTCTGCGGCCTCTGCGTCCTCTGCGGCCTCTGCGACCTCTGCGCTTTCTGTTGCCTCTGCTCCCTCTGCGCCCTCTGCGGCCTCTACGGCCTCTGCGGCCTCTACGGCCTCTGCGGCCTCTGCGACCTCTGCGCTTTCTGTTGCCTCTGCTACCTCTGCGCTTTCTGTTGCCTCTGCTCCCTCTGCGCCCTCTGCGCCCTCTGCGGCCTCTACCGCCTCTGCGGCCTCTGCGGCCTCTGCGACCTCTGCGCTTTCTGTTACCTCTGCGGCCTCTGCGGCCTCTGCGGCCTCTGCGCCCTCTGCTCCCTCTGCGCTTTTGGTTGCCTCTGCTGCCTCTGCGGCCTCTGCGGCCTCTGCGGCCTCTGCGACCTCTGCGCCCTCTGCTCCCTCTGCGCTTTCTGTTGCCTCTGCTGCCTCTGCGGCCTCTGCGGCCTCTGCGGCCTCTGCGCCCTCTGCTCCCTCTGCGCTTTCGGTTGCCTCTGCTCCCTCTGCGGCCTCTGCGGCCTCTGCGCCCTCTGCTCCCTCTGCGCTTTCTGTTGCCTCTGCTCCCTCTGCGGCCTCTGCGGCCTCTGCGGCCTCTGCGACCTCTGCGCCCTCTGCGCTTTCTGTTGTCTCTGCTCCCTCTGCGGCCTCTGCGGCCTCTGCTCCCTCTGCGCTTTCTGTTGCCTCTACTCCCTCTGCGGCCTCTGCGGCCTCTGCTCCCTCTGCGCTTTCTGTTGCCTCTGCTCCCTCTGCGGCCTCTGCGGCCTCTGCGCCCTCTGCTCCCTCTGCGCTTTCTGTTGCCTCTGCTCCCTCTGCGGCCTCTGCGGCCTCTGCGCCCTCTGCGCCCTCTGCGCCCTCTGCTCCCTCTGCGCTTTCTGTTGCCTCTGCGGCCTCTGCGGCCTCTGCGCCCTCTGCGACCTCTGCGCCCTCTGCGACCTCTGCGGCCTCTGCTCCCTCTGCGCTTTCTGTTGCCTCTACTCCCTCTGCGGCCTCTGCGGCCTCTGCGGCCTCTGCGGCCTCTGCGCCCTCTGCTCCCTCTGCGCTTTCTGTTGCCTCTACTCCCTCTGCGGCCTCTGCGGCCTCTGCGGCCTCTGCGCCCTCTGCGGCCTCTGCGCCCTCTGCTCCCTCTGCGCTTTCTGTTGCCTCTGCTCCCTCTGCGGCCTCTGCGGCCTCTGCGGCCTCTGCGGCCTCTTCCGCCTCTGCGGCCTCTGCGACCTCTGCGCCCTCTGCTCCCTCTGCGCTTTCTGTTGCCTCTGCTCCCTCTGCGGCCTCTGCGGCCTCTGCGGCCTCTGCGGCCTCTTCCGCCTCTGCGGCCTCTGCGACCTCTGCGCCCTCTGCTCCCTCTACGCTTTCTGTTGCCTCTGCTCCCTCTGCGGCCTCTGCGGCCTCTGCGGCCTCTGCGGCCTCTGCCCCCTCTGCGGCCTCTGCGGCCTCTGCTCCCTCTGCGGCCTCTGCGGCCTCTGCGGCCTCTGCCCCCTCTGCGGCCTCTGCGGCCTCTGCGCCCTCTGCTCCCTCTACGCTTTCTGTTGCCTCTACTCCCTCTGCGGCCTCTGCGGCCTCTGCGGCCTCTGCGGCCTCTGCGCCCTCTGCTCCCTCTACGCTTTCTGTTGCCTCTGCTCCCTCTGCGGCCTCTGCGGCCTCTGCGGCCTCTGCGCCCTCTGCTCCCTCTACGCTTTCTGTTGCCTCTGCTCCCTCTGCGGCCTCTGCGGCCTCTGCGGCCTCTGCGCCCTCTGCTCCCTCTACGCTTTCTGTTGCCTCTGCTCCCTCTGCGGCCTCTGCCCCCTCTGCGGCCTCTGCGGCCTCTGCCCCCTCTGCGGCCTCTGCGGCCTCTGCGCCCTCTGCTCCCTCTACGCTTTCTGTTGCCTCTGCTCCCTCTGCTCCCTCTGCGGCCTCTGCGGCCTCTGCGGCCTCTGCGGCCTCTGCGGCCTCTGCGGCCTCTGCGGCCTCTGCGGCCTCTGCCCCCTCTGCGGCCTCTGCGCCCTCTGCGCCCTCTGCTCCCTCTACGCTTTCTGTTGCCTCTGCTCCCTCTGCGGCCTCTGCGGCCTCTGCGGCCTCTGCGGCCTCTGCGGCCTCTGCCCCCTCTGCGGCCTCTGCGGCCTCTGCGCCCTCTGCTCCTTCTACGCTTTCTGTTGCCTCTGCTCCCTCTGCGGCCTCTGCGGCCTCTGCGGCCTCTGCGGCCTCTGCCCCCTCTGCGGCCTCTGCGCCCTCTGCGCCCTCTGCTCCCTCTACGCTTTCTGTTGCCTCTGCTCCCTCTGCGGCCTCTGCGGCCTCTGCGGCCTCTGCGGCCTCTGCGGCCTCTGCTCCCTCTGCGGCCTCTGCGGCCTCTGCGGCCTCTGCGCCCTCTGCCCCCTCTGCGGCTTCTGCGGCCTCTGCGCCCTCTGCTCCCTCTACGCTTTCTGTTGCCTCTGCGGCCTCTGCGGCCTCTGCGGCCTCTGCGGCCTCTGCGACCTCTGCCCCCTCTGCGGCCTCTGCGGCCTCTGCGACCTCTGCCCCCTCTGCGGCCTCTGCGGCCTCTGCGCCCTCTGCGACCTCTGCGCTTTCTGTTGCCTCTGCTCCCTCTGCGGCCTCTGCGGCCTTTGCGGCCTCTGCGGCCTCTTCCGCCTCTGCGGCCTCTGCGACCTCTGCGCCCTCTGCTCCCTCTGCGCTTTCTGCGGCCTCTGCGGCCTCTGCGGCCTCTGCGGCCTCTGCGCCCTCTGCTCCCTCTACGCTTTCTGTTGCCTCTGCTCCCTCTGCGGCCTCTGCGGCCTCTGCGGCCTCTGCGGCCTCTGCCCCCTCTGCGGCCTCTGCGGCCTCTGCGCCCTCTGCTCCCTCTACGCTTTCTGTTGCCTCTGCTCCCTCTGCGGCCTCTGCGGCCTCTGCGCCCTCTGCTCCCTCTACGCTTTCTGTTGCCTCTGCTCCCTCTGCGGCCTCTGCGGCCTCTGCGGCCTCTGCCCCCTCTGCGGCCTCTGCGGCCTCTGCGCCCTCTGCTCCCTCTACGCTTTCTGTTGCCTCTGCTCCCTCTGCGGCCTCTGCGGCCTCTGCGGCCTCTGCCCCCTCTGCGGCCTCTGCGCCCTCTGCGCCCTCTGCTCCCTCTACGCTTTCTGTTGCCTCTGCTCCCTCTGCGGCCTCTGCGGCCTCTGCGGCCTCTGCGACCTCTGCGCCCTCTGCTCCCTCTGCGCTTTCTGCTGCCTCTGCTGCCTCTGCGGCCTCTGCGGCCTCTGCGGCCTCTGCTCCCTCTGCGCTTTCTGTTGCCTCTGCTCCCTCTGCGGCCTCTGCGGCCTCTGCGACCTCTACGGCCTCTGCGACCTCTGCGCTTTCTGTTACCTCTGCGCCCTCTGCGTCCTCTGCGCCCTCTGCGGCCTCTGCGGCCTCTGCGCCCTCTGCTCCCTCTGCGCTTTCTGTTGCCTCTGCGGCCTCTGCGGCCTCTGCGCTTTCTGTTGCCTCTGCTCCCTCTGCGGCCTCTGCGACCTTTGCGCTTTATGTTGCCTCTGCTACCTCTGCGCCCTCTGCGGCCTCTACGGCCTCTGCGACCTCTTCGCTTTCTGTTACCTCTGCTACCTCTGCGACCTCTGCGGCCTCTGCGGCCTCTGCGACCTCTGCGCTTTCTGTTGCCTCTGCTCCCTCTGCGGCCTCTGCGGCCTCTGCGCCCTCTGCTCCCTCTGCGCTTTCTGTTGCCTCTGCTACCTCTGCGCCCTCTGCGCCCTCTGCGCCCTCTGCGACCTCTGCGCTTTCTGTTACCTCTGCTACCTCTGCGGCCTCTGCGGCCTCTGCGCTTTCTGTTGCCTCTGCTCCCTCTGCGGCCTCTGCGACCTTTGCGCTTTCTGTTGCCTCTGCTACCTCTGCGCCCTCTGCGCCCTCTGCGGCCTCTGCTACCTCTGCGACCTCTGCGGCCTCTGCGGCCTCTGCGCTTTCTGTTGCCTCTGCTCCCTCTGCGCCCTCTGCGCCCTCTGCGGCCTCTGCGGCCTCTGCGGCCTCTACGACCTCTGCGCTTTCTGTTGCCTCTGCTACCTCTGCGCCCTCTGCGCCCTCTGCGGCCTCTACGGCCTCTGCGGCCTCTGCGACCTCCGCGCTTTCTGTTGCCTCTGCTCCCTCTGCGGCCTCTGCGACCTTTGCGCTTTCTGTTGCCTCTGCTACCTCTGCGCCCTCTGCGCCCTCTGCGGCCTCTACGGCCTCTGCGGCCTCTGCGGCCTCTGCGACCTTTGCGCTTTCTGTTGCCTCTGCTACCTCTGCGCCCTCTGCGGCCTCTACGGCCTCTGCTACCTCTGCGACCTCTGCGGCCTCTGCGGCCTCTGCGCTTTCTGTTGCCTCTGCTCCCTCTGCGGCCTCTGCGACCTTTGCGCTTTCTGTTGCCTCTGCTACCTCTGCGCCCTCTGCGCCCTCTGCGCCCTCTGCGGCCTCTACGGCCTCTGCGGCCTCTGCGGCCTCTGCGACCTCTGCGCTTTCTGTTACCTCTGCTCCCTCTGCTCCCTCTGCGGCCTCTGCGGCCTCTGCGACCTCTGCGCTTTCTGTTGCCTCTGCTCCCTCTGCGCCCTTTGCGGCCTTTGCGGCCTCTGCGACCTCTGCGCTTTCTGATACCTCTGCTACCTCTGCGCCCTCTGCGGCCTCTGCGGCCTCTGCGCCCTCTGCTCCCTCTGCGCTTCCGGTTGCCTCTGCTCCCTCTGCGGCCTCTGCGACCTCTGCGCTTTCTGTTGCCTCTGCTCCCTCTGCGCCCTCTGCGCCCTCTGCGGCCTCTACGGCCTCTGCGCCCTCTGCTCCCTCTGCGGCCTCTGCGGCCTCTGCGACCTCTGCGCTTTCTGTTGCCTCTGCTCCCTCTGCGCCCTCTGCGCCCTCTGCGGCCTCTGCGGCCTCTGCGACCTCTGCGCTTTCTGCTCCCTCTGCGGCCTCTGCGACCTTTACGGCCTCTGCGACCTCTGCGCTTTGTGTTACCTCTGCGCCCTCTGCGGCCTCTGCGGCCTCTGCGACCTCTGCTCCCTCTGCGGCCTCTGCGACCTCTGCGACCTCTGCGACCTCTGCGCTTTCTGTTACCTCTGCGACCTCTGCGCTTTCTGCTACCTCTGCGGCCTCTGCGACCTCTGCGACCTCTGCGGCCTCTACGGCCTCTGCGACCTCTGCGCTTTCTGCTCCCTCTGCTCCCTCTGCGGCCTCTGCGGCCTCTGCGGCCTCTGCGACCTCTGCGCTTTCTGTTGCCTCTGCTCCCTCTGCGCCCTCTGCGCCCTCTGCGGCCTCTGCGGCCTCTGCGACCTCTGCGCTTTCTGCTCCCTCTGCGGCCTCTGCGACCTTTACGGCCTCTGCGACCTCTGCGCTTTGTGTTACCTCTGCGCCCTCTGCGGCCTCTGCGACCTCTGCTCCCTCTGCGGCCTCTGCTCCCTCTGCGACCTCTGCGACCTCTGCGACCTCTGCGCTTTCTGTTACCTCTGCGACCTCTGCGCTTTCTGCTACCTCTGCGGCCTCTGCGACCTCTGCGACCTCTGCGGCCTCTACGGCCTCTGCGACCTCTGCGCTTTCTGCTCCCTCTGCTCCCTCTGCGGCCTCTGCGGCCTCTGCGGCCTCTGCGACCTCTGCGCTTTCTGTTACCTCTGCGACCTCTGCGACCTCTGCCTCTCGTTCTCCTTCCTCCTCTTCCTCTTCTTCTCCCGAAAAACTCTGTTGCAGTCAATTAGTGATTTCATTGCTGGAAGCTCATCCATTCTATATTTAATATTATTAGAAGCGAGCACTCGTTCTTCAAACACTCAGTAACATTCACATGTTTCTTTTTATCATTTTAATTTTAAATTGTTAAAAACACTTTTGCAATACCACTGTAGTTGTTATACACAAGGAGTACCTATACTTCTGAATTAATTCGACATGATGCGAAGACCTCATGCATCCGCCACTTCTTTGGATGTTGCCGGGATGTCAGGTGCATTTATGGAGGGGAGATTATATATGATCCCCTTAAGAAGGGTTCTAAATGGAAACCAAAAAGTCAATCAAAGTTTATTTTAAATACACAAGTGCAATTACAAGGGACATTAGTTATACGTACCATTCAATTGTACTAAGCGTTTAGTTCGCTTTAAACAGAGGTACTGCGTAGTAAGGTTATAACAGGAGGTAGGCCGTTTGCTCTCATGAACCGAAGAACCGAAGATGTCTGTATTCGCATCCCAGCGTGTACTAATTATCTGCGTAAATCGTTTACAAGAAAATTGCAGTCAGTGTCCTTACATGTTTTGATAAACGTTAGTGAGTGAATTGGGTTTAACATTCCAGTTATATCATGGCTTGCCAGCTCATGTTGGAGAAAGTCTCGGACGTTTACCACTTCGGTGAAAATCACTAGTACAGGTATGGTGCTGACAAATATAGAAACATTATTTGGGCGAACCGGGATTCAAACCCTTAACCATAGGTTTCTGGCGCGCCCAAGTGACACAACTCTGCACAGTGAATAGCGGCGCCTTAAGGTGGCTAGGCCACCCGTGCCCCTTCTATAAATGCAAAAAATTTCAAAAAATTGTTTTATGGGAAAAAAACCAGTTGCGCTTCATGCGCACTGCCCGGTTACACCTCATGGCGGGAATCAATACGTCACTTAAAAGATATGACGTAACGGTGACGTCATCCACGTTAGCGTCATCCACGTCAGCTTTCTGATTAACGCGCATCTCCGCCTGGATAGCCGCCCGCTCCGGACGTGTTTTGCCCTGTCTCATTTTAGCAACTTAAAACCACCTCCTCCCAAGCCTCCTCCTCTCTATCTCGCTATTTAGGTTCCTTTTTCTTAGTCATGTGCGTGTATGCGTTGTTTCCCCCACCTTTGTGGCTTATTTCATACAATTTCGGATTGATGAATTGTACGCTTAGGTGTATATACCTTGTAATAAATTTGTCCGCCTTTTGTGCGGGCCTAAACAACAATTTTCAGTGTCTGTAATTTTTGCCACAAATGAACTGGACGTTCTCGGGTCTAAGGGTTTTTGAGTATAAAAAACGTTATTAAGTAGTAAAGGCAAAAATATCGCTAGTTAACCTGTCATCGACATATTTGTAACGTCCAGTGAAAAGTAGCAACAGATCAATGGTATCATTAAGCATCAAGTGTCACATCCATAGAGAATCTCCCCATTACCATGACCATGCAATAGTGTAGGCCTTCCAAACTGGCATGCAACGCAATTCAGAATCACTCACCAAACCAGGTTTTAATCTTCCTCTTAGCTGAATTCGAAGAAACGGTTTATTTTTACCACCGAAACAAAGAGCAATTGATCGAGTTTCTTAACATTCACATGTTACACTAGACACATATTTACATGCCATCAGTTGTTGCATTACCATCTCATGTTCTTTCGTTATCACATTGTATCTTGCAATAATTATTACTGGAGTTACTTCAATAGTACTGTTTTCAATAATGAAATAAAACTCACAGCGCCTGCCTTTACGTCGACCTGGCAGCGGCATATGTAACAATAAGTACCATCATGCTGATTATATATAATATCAGAGTGATAACTCCACTTTACCAATTTCTTGTAGTGACCCATCGGGTATTATCTAATGGGTTGTCTTTGAGCGTTTATTTCATGCATTATATTATAGGTATTATCATCATAAATACTTATTACGGAAGAACTTGAGTTTGATACGACATTTTTTATTTTAATCTCCAAAGATAAAATTTCAAATCAATTTCTTCTCTACTGTTCACATTCTTCTCAACACATTCACAATACTTTTTCACCTCCTTTCACCAATTTTTGTCACGGCCTTTCACCTTTTTGTATTTAAAGGTATTACGCAAAACAAGAAACAGACTTAAAACAGTTATGCTTCTTTTCATCCATGCAATAACGATCATGCAATACTTTGACTTACGTCGACGTTTCTTGCCTCGTTCTCGTCGACGTTTTCCTCCTGTTATGAAGGTATATTTTACAAAACAAATACTACATTTATTCATGTTCTAAGTTGCATCGCGCTTAAGATTCGTTACGCAGGTATTGATTGCTTATTTCTAAAATAACCCTATGTTTTGCTCATGTAACATTAATTCTAAGGAAACCTTCAAAGGTCGTTTTACGGCAGCCAAAACAATAATTTCTTAAATATTAGAACACCAGAGTTTTCGCATGCATTTAAGACATTCACTTGACACACATCCACGTTTCCTGCCACGGCTTCGTCCACGCTTTCCTCCTTTAATAAGAGTTACCAGTATTGATTGAGATAACGTTTACTTAAAGCTACATCAGTATTTATACCAAACAGTAAACAAACGAAATGTATTCATTCCGTTTTACAATCATGTTTGCATGTCTAGATTAAAACATAAAATACAAGATCTTCTGTATTCTGGCACGCAATCTAGTACATTTATACTTTCACATGCTTAAAAGACATAATTTTGACTCACGTCCACGTTTCTTGCCACGACTTCGCCTACGCTTTCCTCCTATTATGAAAGGTATATGTTCTCGAATTATTCATAATTTTTCATTTCATAATAGATGATACCTTTCACCATTCCATGCATATTCCAGGGTTAAAATCAGTGCTTCACAGAACGTTATATAGGTGTTGTTTTAAATGATTCAAAGGTCAGTTCCTTTTCCTTTTTCATCAAGGAATACATTAGTAAAACATTCTTCTGACCATCATCCTCACACGTAGTCTAGAAAACTAAAATCTCCACATGCGTATAAGACATAATCTTGACTCACGTCCACGTTTCTTGCCACGACTTCGCCTACGCTTTCCTCCTATTATGAAAGGTATATGTTCTCGAATTATTCATAATTTTTCATTTCATAATAGATGATACCTTTCACCATTCCATGCATATTCCAGGGTTAAAATCAGTGCTTCACAGAACGTTATATAGGTGTTGTTTTAAATGATTCAAAGGTCAGTTCCTTTTCCTTTTTCATCAAGGAATACATTAGTAAAACATTCTTCTGACCATCATCCTCACACGTAGTCTAGAAAACTAAAATCTCCACATGCGTATAAGACATAATCTTGACTCACGTCCATGTTTCTTGCCACGACTTCGCCTACGCTTTCCTCCTATTATGAAAGGTATATGTTCTCGAATTATTCATAATTTTTCATTTCATAATAGATGATACCTTTCACCATTCCATGCATATTCCAGGGTTAAAATCAGTGCTTCACAGAACGTTATATAGGTGTTGTTTTAAATGATTCAAAGGTCAGTTCCTTTTCCTTTTTCATCAAGGAATACATTAGTAAAACATTCTTCTGACCATCATCCTCACACGTAGTCTAGAAAACTAAAATCTCCACATGCGTATAAGACATAATCTTGACTCACGTCCACGTTTCTTGCCACGACTTCGCCTACGCTTTCCTCCTATTATGAAAGGTATATGTTCTCGAATTATTCATAATTGTTTCATTCCATAATAGATGATACCTTTCACCATACCATGCATATTCAAGGGTTAACTTCAGTTCTTTAGAGAACGTTTCATAAAGTTTTAAAAAAATGATTCAAAGGTCAGTTCCTTTTCCTTTTTCATCAAGGAATACATTAGTAAAACATTCTTCTGGCCATCATCCACACACGTAGTGTAGAAAACTAAAATCTCCACATGCGTATAAGACATAAGTTTGACTCACGTCCACGTTTCTTGCCACGACTTCGCCTACGCTTTCCTCCTATTATGAAAGGTATATGTTCTCGAATTATTCATAATTGTTTCATTTCATAATAGATGATACCTTTCACCATTCCATGCATATTCCAGGGTTAACTTCAGTTCTTCAGAGAACATTTTATAGACATTTAAAAGAATGTTTCAAAAGTTAGTTCGTATTTCTTTTAAACGTAGTCTAGAAAACTAAAATCTTTACATGCGTATTAGACATAATCTTGACTCACGTCCACGTTTCTTTCCACGACTTCGCCTACGCTTTCCTCCTATTTTTAAAGATATATGTTCTCGAATTATTCATAATTGTTTCTTTTCATAATAGATGATACCTTTCACCATTCCATGCATATTCCAGGGTTAAATTCATTTCTTTGGAAAACATTTGATAGACTTTCAAAAAAATGATTCAAAGGTCCGTTCATATTCCTTTTTCATCAAGGAATATAGTTAAGCATTCATGTGACCATTATTCTTACACGTAGTCTAGAAAATTAAAATCTTCACATGCGTATAAGACATAATCTTGACTCACGTCCACGTTTCTTGCCACGACTTCGCCTACGCTTTCCTCCTATTATGAAAGGTATATGTTCTCGAATTATTCATAATTGTTTCATTTCATAATAGATGATACCTTTCACCATTCCATGCATATTCCAGGGTTAACTTCAGTTCTTCAGAGAACTTTTTATAGAAATTTAAATGAATGTTTCAAAAGTGAGTTCGTATTTCTTTTTCATTAAGGAATTAAATGAATATATCTTCTGACCATTATCCTTACACGCAGTCTAGAAAATTAAAATCTTCACATGCGTATAAGACATAATCTTGACTCACGTCCACGTTTCTTGCCACGACTTCGCCTACGCTTTCCTCCTATTATGAAAGGTATATGTTCTCGAATTATTCATAATTGTTTCATTTCATAATATATGATACCTTTCACCATTCCATGCATATTCCAGGGTTAAAATC